CTCCTGCCTTGTTCTTGTCTCTTTGATGCTTCTTTCCCATCTGCCTGGCAAGTTTTCCCAGGTCTGGCTTTCGCTGTACCCTCCACAAGCCTTCAGCTTGGATGATACTGGAAGCCGGACTAGTCTCTGTGATACCTGATGGCCCTCAGATCTCTTTCCCGTCAGGCAAGGGGACCCATGATCACCCTCCCACCATCACTCCCGTTTGTAAAGTCAAGCAGCCAGGATGATCACGGGACTATTAGATCGTGCACAGCGACCACATGACAAGTCGGGGACAGGATGAATGGAAAGGGAGAGAGAAAAGGGGGAAGGGAAGGAGAGGTAAGAATCGTGTGAAGAAAGGAACGAAGGATGAAAAGAAGAGAAAGAGGCAAGGGGAGAGAGAAAGGAAGCAAGGAGGAGGATCTTTTTGCATCTTCAAACCATGTTGTTCCTGCTCCAGAACGTTCTTTTTCTGGGCAAACTCTAGGATCCAAAGAGTATCTGCTTCTGAGGGGCTCTCCAACTGTGCGTCCTTGCCTAACTTTCATGGCAACCCCGTGAGGAGCTCTTGTGACTGTGTAGCATAGGCAGGGAAGCCGAGGGTCGGGAGAACCCAACCATTGTCTAGATGTACTTCATCCTCAGAGAAGATCAGCACAGACAGATGGGTCACCCATCTGCCTCCGAGGGCTACCTCCTCAGAGCCCAGAGAAGGACCTGGGATCTGTGGGAGCCCATCTTACCCAGAAGGCTGCCCGAAAATGACAGGAAAGGAGTTCAGGAACTGCATAGACAGAATTAAAACACAAGTCCAGGGCTTGTGTTCCTGGTTGAACTTTGACCAATAGCAAGTACGTATTTTAAGATTTCAAGCTTCTGGTTCTCTTTCTTCCAGCCCACCTATTCCTACTCTTCCTTCCTAGAAGGGGGATGCCCACATCCGTCACTGCCTCTCCTCCCCTCTCCTCTCCTCCTGCCTCTCCTTTCCCTCCTCCTCCTTTTACCCCTCTTTTCCTCCTCCCCCTCATTCCTCCCTTCTTTCCTCTTTCTCCTTCCTTTCTTGTCCTTTCTAAAAACATCCATCTACGGGGCTGGAGAGATGGCTCAGAGGTTAAGAGCATTGCCTGCTCTTCCAAAGGTCCTGAGTTCAATTCCTAGCAACTACATGGTGGCTCACAACCATCTGTAATGAGGTCTGGTGCCCTCTTCTGGCCTTCAGGCATACACACAGACAGAATATTGTATACATAATAAATAAATAAATATTTAAAAATCCATCTAAAAAAAACCCCACAGCTTTTGCTGCTGCTGAGATCTTTTCTCCACAATGACCTCTCTGCCAATTCCAGGCATACAAAGGCAAGGGACCAGCTCCCCTCAGATACTTCAAATTGACCCTGAGACATCCCCACCCCACTTCTACCCTTCCTCCATTTGCTTAAGAGGTAGCTCTAAGTTCTTGGCTTCCCGACCACAAGTCTCCCATGGTTCCCTATTGTCCTAGAGAAAGAGTCCACACCTGACTCAGCATTCCATCGGACATCTGCAGTCTTCTCAAGTTTCAATTCCCATCCTTCATGGGGTGAACTGTCCCTGATGTACTATTGGTAGAGATGGCAAGGGCCTCCTCGGGTTACACTGGACAGTTGGAGCTTGGATTAGCACCAGGGGTGCTAGACGATTTGTCTTGTGACAGACACCTGTCAGCTGCTGAGTGCAGCGCGCCATTCCAATTTCCCAGTGGCCCTTGTGCTTCCTTCTGCTCTCCTAGCTACTTCTGCCGGCGTGTGTGTTCCCAGCCTCTCCCTCTGGATCCTCTTAGTCCACAGACCTCAGCTCTGCAAACATGGCCTTGTTCAGATGTGTCTCCCTAGGGTGCCCCGTTTCTGCAAGTGCTGAGTGAGCTGGGACTCTTCTCCTGGTTCCAGTCACTGTGAGTTCCTCCACGCTAGGAGGGCAGGATTGAGACCCAGGGTTCCCTTGTGTACACACAACTGAGGCAAGGCCTCCAGCTGTGTTTTTCAGGAGCTCTCTAAGCTGGGCTTAGGGGTGGACACTTAACACAGAACTGAGAACTCCGCAGCTGCCTGTGGATTTCTGGGAGGTGAGGAGGCTCACCATGATCTGACGCCTGGAGAGGCAGTGGGCCTGGGAGGCCGCTCATGCGCCAGGGCCTAGGAACTTTCTGGACCTTGTTCTAGGTTTGACTTGAAGGCTGGAGTGCACCTTTCCTGGGGCCCCATCAGCAGTGTGAGGTGCAAGCTTCTGTCATATCTGGGTTTGTATAAAAATCCATGCAGGAACATGCGGTAGGTAGATCGTAAAAGATGACTGGGCAGAAATGGGATTTTTGTTTTGTTTTGTTTTGAGACAGCGTTTCCCTGTGTAGCCCTGGCTGTCCTGGAACTCATTTTGTAGACAAGGCTGTCATCGAACTCACAGAGATCTGCCTGCCTCTGCCTCCCTGGTGCAAGACATAGGAATCTCATTTCAAGCCAGGACTCAAAAACAGTTCACACCTAAGAGACAGGACCTGAATTAGGTCCCATTTATTGATGTGGGGCTGGCTGTTCTGAGGGACATAAACCAAAGAGCTTTTGGGCCTGGGTAAGATGGTAGTCCACACAGGGTTGGCTCACCCTGAAAGCACCCTGTCAGAGCCCTGGTGTGGTGGGACACACCTCGGATCTCAGCACTCGGGAGGCAGAGGTTGGTGGATTTCTGTGAGTTTAAGTCCAGTCTGGTCTACATTGTGGTTCGAAACCCCATTTCTAGCAAACAAAAGCACTCTGCCTACATAGTAATTGAATATAAACATTGTATAAAAAGAGGGTACAAATATCCATTCCCCCAAAGGTAATAGAATGAAGGAGGTCAAACTTAGCACCCCGTGGTGAGACTCTAACCATAAAAAAATAAATTAATAAATTAAAAACACTCTGCAGGACATATGACAGATCCAAGTCACAGCAAGGCAGATAAAGTGGGTTGGGATGGTACAGGTCACCTGCTCAGAGCCTAGATGCCTGGCCCGTCTCTGTTTGTGGGCGAAGTTTCTGCCTAAAGCCTTACGTCCCCTTGTGCTGGGAATGGACTCCAGCGTTGCTTCAGATCACTTGGCACCGCCAGACACATTAAAAAACATTGTGCATTTGTTTGTTTTGTTTTCTCAAAGACACCCAGTTGGGAGGCCCAGAGCTCCCCATTGATGACTTTCCAGTTCCCCTTCCGAACCCCTGAAGTTTCTTTCTTAAGACCCCCAGGGAACCATTTGCCCTGTGGCTTTTGTAAATGGCCTGGCATTCCCCGGCAATACATACTGTGTTCTGTTCAGTTATGACTTTTGTATGTGTGATGGTTTGATATACGGTGGGTTTGTACGTTTCATTAGGCTTTCATTACGTTTCATAGTGTAAGAGGCTGCACTGATCACTTAACAGCTGGGAGGTTTGGAGCCTGGCTGCGTTTGTCCGGCAACCAGACTAAGAAAAAGCCCCGCCCGCCTTTGCAGGTTGTGAATACCCAGGAAAGGGGTTGATAACCCATCACAGCAACACACTAGTAGAAACACACACACACACACACACACACACGCACGCACGCACACACACACGCACAGAAACACCACATGTAGGCTCTCAACTTGTGACTTTAGGATATAGTTTTAAGGTAATTTCCCAAGGGTTCATGTGTTGAAAGCTTATCTTCCTCCCCCACCCCCACCCCAGCACACAAAGGTTTAGGAAAGGCAGGACCTTTATGAGGTGGGGCTGGTGGGAAGCCCTTAGGCTAGTTGCCCTGGGAAGTTAAGTATTCTTTAGGGAACCTTGTGTTGGAAGAGCCTGCTGGCCTCTGAATTGCTCCCTGGCTTGTTCTGAGAGTGCTGACCTCCTTTTGCTATGATGTCTTCACCAGAGCGGAACTTCTTTAGAAATTATGCCCACCTCGGGTATTTCGTTCTATTGTCAACAGATATCTGAACCTGTGGGAATAAATGAAGTCACCTGCTCAACAGGTAACTCAGAAGGGAGGGAGAGGATCTGACTTTTAAAGGTTCTACTTTCAAATCCTTAGCAGCAGCTGCCTCTGGCTAGGCAGGCTTATTTGAAGGCACACAGTGGCAAGCTGCAGGCATAGCACGGCTGTGTGGGACACCCAGGGAAATCGACCTCCACAGTGACCAAAGGAAACTCCCTGAGCATTTGGTAAGCAGGAACTCCGGGACGCCAGACTGTACCAGGATGTGCTCTTGCAGAGTATACATCCAAACGCTCATGGGACTCACTAGGTCGGAATCGCCTCGACCTTTGCTCTACGGCCTGCACTTTACCACTCAGGTCTCCAACTGGTGTCCTGCTTCTGCCACTGTGAAGAGCTTCCCATAGTGGGCATTTGGTGAGAGGGGCTCACCCTCCCCAAAGTGTGTTTAAGCTTTTGGTCTGAGTCTAGAATGTATAGCCTGCTTCATTTTCCAACCGTAAGCACCCTCCAACTTCCCAGGAACAAAGAAGGTGAAGTCAGTATTTCAGGATCTCTGCGGGGAAGCCGGATTACGATTCATGGGCGAGACATGGACTAACATGTCATGTCTCCTTGTAGCCTGGCACACCGTTACTGGTTCTCTTCTGCACCAAGGCATGCCAGCTACGAAGTATTACTAAAGACACGGAAATGCGTGTACTTAAGTCTTTGGCAACCCCCACCCCAGAATCACGCACAGCAAACAATGGCCTCTGTCAATGGCAGGTCAAGGAGAAGCGCCTAGAAACCAGGACTGAAAACTGCACTTTATGTATTCTAATGCTCTTCTAGCTGATTTAATGGGGAGCCAGTAGCTGCTCCAAGCTCGACAGCAATTTACATTCAGAGAAGCTCAGCTGCCAGAGACTCGCAATGCGTTCACGCCGACCGTTTCCTCGTGACACGTGTGAACACACATGCCACGAGAAGTTCCGCTTCCCGATGAAGTGGGGGCTCTCTCCCGAGCAGAGGGGAGACAAACTTGGAGACAAAGGTGCATACAGAATTCTTTTATTTAACTTAACCCATGTGGTACTTTAACTACTAGAAAAAAGCAGAGTAATAAGAAACTCAAGTGGCCTTAGCTTCAGCCATTCAAAATAGACAAAGTTTCTTTTTTTCATAATGTAAAGAATCCCGAGTATGTCGCAGTAACAGGAATAATTTCTTACAACAGAATATACAAAAACATTGAATTTTTTTTCATCTACTGATTTTTTTTAAATATAAACAGAGGGCTTTTTTTTAGGAATAATTTATACACAGAAAGTTATTTTATGTAACAAATTGGCCATATTGTTATCTTTTTAAAACTTTTTTTTTTCTTTTTTAAGAAAAGTTTTTAACAAGAAAACTCAGAAATACATTATTGGCAATGCATCGGTTCCATCACGCCTTTTGATTTTTTTTTTTTTTAAACCCAGAGGTAGACAAACCCTGGCACACCTCTCACCCAACCTCATTGGCTTAGGAGGCAGACAGGTGATGTCACCAGGCAGGTATCTGTCCCACCTGTGCACATGTCTGCACAATGCCCGACATCCGAGAGAAACTGAAAAACCAAATCCAACCCAAGCCACAAATGGTTCCCAGACCCTTTTCCTGTAGAGTTAGACAATTCCAGCTGTTTCCAGCAGTGGTATCTTCTGGAACTGCAGAGACACGGCCAATAATGCAGTGGGTGTCAAAAAAAAAGTGGATTTTAACTCTTAAAAAATGGTGGGGGGTATGTTGTGGTTTCTGTGGTTTGCTCTGTATTGGAAAATGTACCTTCAGCATCCAGCCTTTAAGTACAAGCAGGCACAGCCATCACAGGGCTCTGAGGCACACAAGCCAACGGGCTGCACCTTCTGTGTCCGGAAGCCCCCCCACCCCATCTCCATGGCATTGCAGAGCTACAACAAATACCAGCCACGTGAGTCGGATGCCACCATGAACACCATGCCACACTGCTGGGTGACCACCTCCTGCTACTTCACGGCCAGCAAGGCTTTTGGTACTTTTCGAACTGTTCAGGTTGCTACACTCCACCGCGACACAATCACTAAAAGATGACCAAGATACTGAAGAATACAGAAGTACTTTTAAAACCACTGTCATTCCTTTTTTTTTTTTCTTTTTTTAAAACTAGAGCACATAGCATGTGGGAAAGAGGGTGAACCACCATTTGGATTCAGGGTGGGGGTGGGGGAATTAAAAAAAATTTTTTTTGGTATTTTTTTGGCATATTGTAAAGCTAGCTAGTGAACAAGTGTCAAAAAAAGACCATAAACACATATTTGCACACACAGAGGGAAAAAAAAGTGTTTTTAAATTATTTCCGGCAATTATAAACTACAAACATTTTATAAAATTATTCTATGTTCTTACAAAAATGCAATGAAACATTAATTAGTTCTTGTAAACCAGATCTTCGTCAACTGACTACCCGTAATCTACTGGACTTAGAAGCCCGATTGGAAACGAAAATGAATGACTAATTTAAAAAACTATGTTTACTGGAAAGATGCGGACACACGTGGACACACACATCAGTGATTATGAAGTCCTCACAGAAACAAAACAAAATAAATCCCTATCATGCCCCAGACGGACAACCCAATGGGTGAGCGTGATGGAGTCTGAGTTCTGTGAGAAGTTTCCAGAGCAGGATGCTAAGTTTATCCTCTGAAACCAAATGCCCACGATGACGCCACAGCCTCGATGCGGTCTCACGCCTTCAGAAACCATCCCGTCCAAATACGATTCGCGCTTCTTCTAAACCCTTTACGCTGTCAACAAGTCTCTTCACGTCATGGTCCCAGTTCCCACCGCTTCCTACTGCCCGGTCATCCCGTCATTCCATCAAGGAATGTTTGTTTCTCTAAATAACCAACCGATTTTCAAAGCGAAGACCCCTGACCTGTTCAAGGTTTGCATCTTCAGCACCTCTGGCAAGAGAGGTTCACTTTAAACAAACATCCTGTCTTGAAGTTCTCAATTTGTAACACCACCTAGTTCAGAGTGGAGTGATCAAGTTTGACCATCATCACTGGTTCGTAAGGAGTGGATCTCTCTGGTCCAGGTTTCCCAATGCTGCTGCTTAGCCCAGGAAATGAAGACATCAGACAAACACAAAAGCAAAAACAAAAACAAAAAACAACCCCCCCTCCCAAAAAAAACCCAAACCGTAAATTCATTACTGTTAAAATGGGCCAAACATATCAACAGGGTGGAATTGTCACCTGCAGGATGCCAATGTTTAGGAAAGGAGCTACCTTCAACACTGTGTGGGCATCCAGAGAGGACCCAACAATGACAACAGAGGACCTTGGGTAAGCATCCTAGCCTTCTCACCCATCTGAGCTTAGCGTGACCTTGCCACAACAGCCTGCTTGCTTCAGGTACAGCCACTGCCAACAGAGGTGGGCTGTTAAGAAAGAGGCTCCGGGAGCACACACTGGCTTAGAACTTGGCATCATGCAGAGCTCATCCATCTGTTAGCCCATCCAAAGAACACGACTGCATACCAAACACTCAGCCATCTGCTCTTTCCACAATGATCGCTGTCTATCTTAGGAAGCTGCTTTTCCTACCATTGAATTGTCATAAGGAGAGGCCAGCGATGGCCTTCAACAGTCTTCTATGTTCCAGGAGAAAGCCTCCTTCCGACTAAGAGTCAAACGAAATTGACATTCCTGAAAGGAGATGGGATAGTGTGGGTCTCACACAGCTCAGGTTCGACTGTGTCTCCACAACTCAGCTCCTGCTGCCTCAAGGAAGGGCCGTGTGGGAGAAGACCTTAATGTTCACGTCACCGCAGTGACGCGCCTCAGTGGTTCACGTTACTTCAAGCAGTGGGAGCTGCTGCCAGGAAAGGAGGATGCATGAAAAAGGCCACAACTCAGCTTGGTAAGATTACTTGGAGCATATAGAGAGAAACATTAGGAAGAGGCAGGAAAAATCAGCATGAAATTAGGCTAGAACTGTGGATACATGATGCCTTACAATAGTCAAGGTGGGTGAATCGGTCCAGCAAAGTGACCGTATCATCGTACAGACTTCTCTTTTACTGAAGTGTTTCTGGGGCATGTTATGGTGGGTACTACACTGTTAAGTGTTTTCTCTCTACTTAAAAGAAAAAAAAATCTACATAAAACACCACCAACAACTTAGACAATTAAAAACAAAACAAAACAAAAAATAACCCTTAAAATCAGCTGAATGATCTGTAGATATCCAGTCGTGGAAACCGGCAGGTATGTGCAAAAGAGGAGAGGCCACTATACCATTGGGATGCCCTAGTGGAGGAGAGGAAAACCCTGATCAAACAGTATCTCCCAGCATTCCGGCAGGAGAAAAAGGACTCTGAATTTACTGAACGGTTAGGCAGTTCTCCACACTGGAGAAGTATCCCCCAGTGTGTTTCCCAGCTAAAGTCCCCAGGGCCTGAGAGAGCAGCTGCTGGAATTGAGGAGTGCACCGTCCACCCCAATGAGCAGCAAAATGATGGGATGGACAGAGGCAATGCACAGGGAAGGCTGAGTGCCAACCACTGGCTGTCCAGCCTCGAGGAGTTTTGGTCAGGCCTTGTATAGCCCTGGGGGGGCAGGGAGGAAGAGGAAAGTACAGCAGCCTGCAGGGGGTGCACACTTGGTCCTGCCCCCCTTTATCATACTGGCCTTCTTTCAGAAGCAGGGTTAAGGGCAGGGCTCTCCAACGGCTGACAGGGCTGTACCTCTGAGAGAAACCAATGCAAGACAGCAATGGTGGCATGCTCCTGTCATGGGGTAGGCCTCGACAGAGCAGCAGAGGGGGCCAACGGGGCACCCGACATGCACACACACTGGGACTCTGCAACAACCTATGTGTGGGTGCCTCAGCCCTCAAAAATCTGGGAATCCCTCCTCTCTTGGGGGTGATAGATGTCGGTCATTCAATTGCTATAACGTTCTGAAGTCAGGCAACTGAGGATGGGCAAGGGATCCCTCCACTGGTGTGCTCTGGGCTCATGTGGGGTGCTGGGTTGGAAGCAGGGAAACCTCTGAGGGAACCAGGTGACAAAAAAAAAAAAAAAATAACCAAAGATGCCCCAGGAAAAGTGAGCTTTTGGACAGGAGTGGGGGAGGCTGAGTGAGTTAGTGTTGCTTTAACCCCAGAATCCAGCCTGACCTCTCTTTCCCCCGGGTATGTGGCCTGTGGTGTGTATGAGGTTACCAGTATCATTGGCCTATTGTCGGTACTGAGAAGTGTGAGATGTAATTTTTAAATATATACACACATGAAAAAATAAGTGTGAGGTAGATAAATGTTTGAAAAACAAAACACCCCCCAAACAAAAACTGTCCCAAGCAAAGTGCACACGCGTACACACGTGCGCGCACACACTCTCACACGCACACACACACATACCTCTTTTCCTCAGTATTTAAATTTATAATGGGGACTTCTCTACAGTGATTAAAACAGGTATCACAAAATAAATTAAAACTTCTACGTGTAATACCTTCTTTATAAACTTTTTTCTCCTTTTCTCTCTCTCTCTCTCTCTCTCTCTCTCTCTCTCTCTCTCTCTCTCTCTCTCTCTCTCTCTCTCTCTCTCTCTCTCTCTCTCTCTCTCTTGTTAGGGGGAAACACTGTGGGGCAGAGGCTAGTGAGAGCCGTGAGCCTGAACTACAGACGAGCCAGAGAACCGCGAGCTTTCTTTTCTATACTTAATCTCCAGTCGCAACGGCAGTCATCCTGTTCCAGCTTCTTCTTACTCCTTAAATATTCCCATCCCAGAAGCAACTCTCAGGCTGCCGCCACTCTGGTAAGAAGTGTTAAAACTAAACAAGACCCCCTAGCCCAGAGGTCTGCCATTTTGGCGACGAAGGAACAGCAAAGGACTCCAGGGCTACCATGGGGTCAGCTCTGCTCCACCTGCCACTCAGGCCTTCGGACCTGGGGACGGGCTCCAGAAGGCCACTGAGGCTGCTGCTTCTGGCCATGGGGTGCTGGTACCCTGCACCTTGCTCACACGGAGGCCACCCATTCAGACACTCTGGGCTAAAGACAGGTAGGCAGGTCGGTCTAGTGAGGGTGATGGCAGAGGGGCCGCTAGGCCATGCTCTGCTGTGCCCTGGGGACTCGGCAGCTGTTTTTGTTTTGTGTGTGTTTGTGTGTGTGACAGAAGGATTAAATATCCATAGAAAAATAATAATTCAAATGCCTACTGTCTGCAGTTAAAACTGCTCTTGTATTCCAAAATGAATATTTATGTGTGTGTGTCACAACCAAAACAAAAACAAAGAGTGACGTCAAAGGCGTGACTTCCAACAATGGGAACTATGAACACTAACCCAGGATGTGTGAGATTTTTGACCTTTCTGATTCTGACCTGAGTTTGAGGCATGTCTTGCAGGGTTAACAGACTCCAATGTTGTGTGCAGGGAGGTGTGGGAACGAGAGGAGAGCCCAGCAGTACCTGGGTCCTGGTCTCCCTCCTCCTCGGTCCCTTACCAGCACTGCGCCCACAGAACCTACGGGTTAGAAGATAATAAATGGGGCTGCAGGGAGCAGGGAAGGGAGACGTATTTATAAAAAGGCATCCAACAGTTCACGGCAAATTATGTCCTAGAAGCATCAGTCACTGGAAGAGAGGCAGGGAAATCACCCTCTAGTACAGAGCACAGGAAGGTTCCCGGAGTGAGCGAAAAGGAAGAAGAGGGGAGACCTGAAAGTTTCATAGATTAAATCCACAAAGACAAAGAACAAAAAAAATAGCAGCTTTTTTTTTTCCTGTACAGACGTATAGATGAATATCTGAACCGTAAAAAAGTTATAAAAGTGACATTAAAGACGATGTGTATGCAAATGTTTCATGGTCTGACATAGAACTGAGAGAACCATGAAGAAGTCCTAGTAACAGAGACGATCTCAAAGCTTAGACTACTTGGATCCACTGCCTGCGCTGCTTCGTGCTGCTACGGTGTCTCAATCCCTCCCCTGCACATCTGCATCAACGGCTGGGCTGCATCCCTGGAACCCTTTCGCACCTGCGTCCCTTGGGGGCCAGAAGGGGAAGGAGGCTGGCCATGAGGACCACCTCGACCCACACAACCTGACCTTCAGGCTTACTCATGACCGTCTCCTCCAGAATTCTTGGGGTGCCGTGGGTGGCGTGGGAGAGGGGAGCCAGCTCAGCCTTCCTCTTCTTCAATGAAGGCAAGTCCCATCTTGCCCAGTTCTCCCAAACAATAACCTAGTTGTCACAAAACAACGAGACCCAGGGGGGCGTGGGCTGGAAGAGCACACCGCGGCACGGCACGGCACGGCGGAGACATGGCCCGCCAGTGTTGTCTCTCAAAGGCTGTTATCAACTCGATGACAAGTTTCACCCCATGCCTCTGGACAAAAGGGGAATCAGCGCAGGGAGCGCACGCGAGAAAAAAAAAAAAATTAGGATTTTGGCAAAATTTGGCAGCATGAGAATGAAAACAACCATGGATGAACAATGGCCCTTTGAGAATTTCAGATGACCCTAAAAAAGGTTAAAGATACAGGTAAAAAATTCCATCTCAGTGTGTGCATTTTTTTTGTTGTATTTTTTGTTTTTTTTTTTTGTAAAGACCTACGGTGTCAGGCAGGTGTGTATGGGGTGAGGAGGAGCCCCAGGGATAGCCACTAAGTCAATCTGATTTTTTTTTTTTTTTTGTAAAAAAAAGGCTTCCCGGCTGGGCTTTCGGCAAACATTTTTCCATTGTGAAGCAGAAAAAGGAGAAAGTGGAAGAGGAAGAGAGGGAGAGGAAAGAGAGGGAAGGCAGAAAGAGAGAGAAGGCAGAGAATGAGGAGACTCAATTCTCGAGTGTCCTGCTGCTATTAAGTATTGTCATTAAGGTTTGCAGAGGCCCATGTCAGTTAAGGGTTTGGGTAGGGAAATAAAAAGCTGCTTGCATATTGAAAAAAAGGAAGGTCCCAAATGTGTTCACTGCAGAGAAGCCTTCTCTCCCGTGGGCGGCAATGGCAGTTCTGAAGATCCACTGAGGTACAGGAGGCTTGTGAATAGATTGTTACAACCTGCTTTCCCCGCCCACCAAGTGGGCGCACACTTCACTGTCCTCTGCGCGTGCTTCGGTGTCTGAGGATCAGCAGGTCGAAGACTGGGGCAGAGGCAAAGCCCTCTCATTGGCGCGTCCCCCGTTCATGTGAGCGTAAGGCTGTCTCTCATCGAAGCTGGCGCGGAGAACCAGTACTCCAGGGCCCGGGCCATTCTCGGCCTTGTGTCCTGAGTGTCTTTCAGGCAGAGGCAGGGAGGCGGAGGAGGCCGAGGGGTCCAGCGGTACACTCTCCATGTTCTCGGGCTCCAGCTCCAGCTCCAGCTCCAGCTCCTCCGGCTCAGGAGGCTTGTTCTCCTCGCTGTAGTAGAAGGAGACCTCCTGAAAGCTGGGCTCCATCTCGTCCTTGATGCTGCCAATGATCTCCAGGAAGGAGGGCCGCATCTTAGGGTTGTACTGCCAGCACATGCGCATCAGTTCAAACCTAAGGGTGAGAAAGAAAGGGCATGAGACCCAAGAGGCCTCTTGGTGAGGTCAGAATGGGCCAGACAGTTGTACCACCTCGGCACCCCTGGCTTCTCATCTGGATGCCTCTGGCAGCCTGCCATGTCTCTTCCTCAGAACCTAGGCCCAGCCACAGTGCCAAATCCAAGCTCACTTCAAGTTTTGGTTCACGCAGAGTCTACCGTGACAGGGTCATATTAATGGTGGCGATGCTAAGACACACAACAACTTCCTTTCTGTCTGAAGCGCCTCTTCCAGCCATGGTTCCAGAACTAGAATCAGAAAGCCCCCTTTCCCACTAATGAGGACCACAGGTTCCCTGACAACCATCATCCTCTGCATCCCTACCTAAGATATTTCTAAGCTTCTTCCTGGCACTAGAGGACCTCTGGCAGTCACCTCAGGAAGGAGGTGGCAGGGGTGCCAGACAGAAGGACCACACATCCCAAGCTTGCTATCTCAAGCCAGCACCTGTTTATTGCAAGCCCCATGAAGGCAGAGCCCTGCCCGCAAGATCTAGGCTGCCCGCAAGGAGAGTCCTAATAGAATCCTCAAGTCAGACGCCAACAAGTCAGGAAAAGCCCAGAGCACGAGTTTCTTCTACACGCAAGGCCAAGGTAAGGATACAGGGAGCTCGTGCTGTGCCTCCATCTCTCCCACAGGTCACTACCCTCCACAATGCCCGGAGTCACATGGATCAGCAGCCATCCATGACAGACGAGGAGGCTGCTCCTGCAGCCACCACCCTGACCGGGAAAGGCCTGGGTGTGGAGAGCAGAGGAAGCCTGGAGCAAGTGGAGTCCTGAATTAGAGTGTACTGCTGACACAATCCCAATGCCCCAGTTCCACGGGAGGCGCTCAGAGATGAGAAAGCCTTCCTGAGGTCTGAGTGCAAAAGCTGACAGCGTGTAGGTGTGTAGACAGTAGCGCCACTTTCTTCCTCTGGGTATTTATGACCCGAAGACTGCTTCCCTGCCGAGATGGCTCCTACAGAGATAAACTAAACCTGCCTCCTCGTCTGACTATATGCACTAACCCTGCTTTCTTGTTTATCTGTATAAAACACGCCCAGTCCACCTAACCCAGCTTCTCGACATCCATGTGCGTGTCCTTTCTTCATTCCCTTGACGCCCCCCAGTCAGGTCAGGGTTCTGGTACCCAAGATATAGAGACTGCTGCACCCAAGCTTTGCCAGATGGACAGGACACAGAGAGTAAGTACAGGGGTGATCACGCTCCTGAGCAGGGGTCACTAACCAGCCTTCATCTACAGGAGCAGAAGACCAAAGTACCTTCTACCTCTATCTCTGAAGGAAATTCTGTTTTGTTTTAAAACCCCTGCCTCAACAGATGCCTTACACTAAGATCCACTAAAGGGAACTTTATATACGCAGGAATCTCACAGAATCCCAAACTGGCCTCTAGCACTGCGTCAGGCTGATTGATGGAACCCCAGGTCACTTCTTTACAACAGGCCTTGCAAATAATCCCAGAGGGGAAAACGCATGCAGAAGCAGCCACAGGTAGGTATTAAGTGGCCCATGGAGAAAAAGGCACTACTGCCCATCTGGCCAGCTACCGCAGAAGTCCTGGGGTAAGTCAGGTCAGCTGGAGGGCACTGACTTTAAGAGAGGGTGGACAAAGGTGAGCTGGAGGTCCTAGGTCCATCCGGAATTAAGCAGTCTAGAGGTCCAGGGGGAAGCCAATTACGGCCAGGCCAGATGCAGCCTGAAGCCTGTTTTTGTAAATTGAATTCTACTGGAGCACAGCTGGTTATATATCACCTGTGGCTGTTTTTGATTGTTTTTTATTTTTATTTATTTATTTTTTTGAGACAGAGTCTCTCTGTGTAGCTCTGGCTGTCCAACTCACAGCAATCCACCTACCTCTGCCTGGGATTAAAGTGCTGGGATTAAAGGTGTGCCACCACCCAGCTCTACCTGTCGTTGTTTTTAAGCTCTGCTGTAGGTTGAGTAGTTAAAACAAAGGCTGTTTAGCTTACAACCCTACAATATTTACCATCTATCCCTCTGGTGGTGAAAAAAAAAAAACCAGTAAAATGTCCAATTCTTGTGTCAGAGAAGAACAAACTGCACCAAAGACAAGGCCAACTAGTTATTGTCAATGGGACCGAATGATGGTCCTGGTGGTACATGCCAGGTTGCAGGTAAGCAGTAAGAGCTTTGGGCACGGGGGCCACATTAGTTCTCAAGAGCCAGAGATGTTTCTCTACTATAACAACTATAAACACTTCACTGTATATATAAGGAGAAAGCACCAACCAAAACATTTCATAATTTGTCTAAAGTCACACAACTAGTGAGAAGGAGTAGAATGAGGCTCTCTGTCGAACAATATAGCTATGCTTTAGTTACCTGAACAAGAGTAACCATGGTCCCACCAGGAGACCGCCCTCTTCTGGAAATCTAGAGACAGCCAGATCTCATGGGAGGGTTTGGTTTGCAGATAGATAGCACACTGGCCTATTCTGGTTAGGTGGCAGAGAAGCCGGTTCTCCCATGTCCCTATCATTTCCCAAAAATTCAATCAAAATGGGACGTAAATACAAGGAACTCATCTCTGTGGCTGGGCTGCAGTTTCCTCTCTGGCTGACAGGCTTATCCCTGAATAGAAAAGTGCAATTGGGGGCAAGAACATGAGATATGTCTGGCTCCATGCCCTGCGGCCAGGGGTGGGGGTGGGGGCTGAGGAGGTGCCACCAGCAGAGCAAGGATGCGGTGACATCAGCACAAACAAGCCATGTGATGTCTCCTTTAAGTCGTTCCAGACTCCGTCCTTCCAGTGCTGCCCATAAAAGGAAGTCTTTTTGCTCTGTGCGATTTAAGACCTTGTTTTATACTCTTTCCATGAGAAAACTCTCCAGTAGACTCTGGGATTAATAAACTGGTGAAATGCTTCTTCTAAAAGGCACAGTTTAAAGCCACTGGACGGCTCCAGTGAGTTGGAGCCGCAGTTTACAGAGCATGCCCCGCTTTGAAGGTATATACCCGACTCTCCCCTAGAAATTCAGGTGGAAGTCCTGCCCTATCTCGAAACAGCTTCCACGGAGAAAGATTTATCCTAGGAGTATATGCACACTGTCATTTCCATACCCCTCTTGGCTCTTGAATCCCCAGCCACACCCCATGTCCTGAGCCGGATAGGCACTGGCACGTTGAGATGTGCTCGGTAGCTCATGTCTGTAGCATGCCTGCTGCTGAGTGTTAGTGCTGTAGCACCTAGTGATCAGATTTTAAGAAGTTCTTACAGGGCTGAGTGAATCTTCTTCTAGCATCCCCAAATAGCCAAGTCTGTTTTAGGGGCTACTTCTCACCTAGGACCTGAAGGGGGATGCTATACAGCCCAGCTTCTGGCACACGGTTCATGCCACAGCTCACCAGACAGACACTGTTATCTGCCTATCTGGACCCCACTCAAACAATTTATCTCTACAAAACCAGCCCAGGATTCCCAGAAACCTGGAGACTTGAATCTGGGAAAGGGAAAATGCAAAAGTACTCAGATTGGACTGAGTATATCTCAGCTTCATCCGAGCTGGTGACGCTGAGCTGAAGTTCAAGTTCCTTCCTGAATCCTGAAGACGTGGCATGTGAGCTGTGGAGACGCTACTGGAACAAGAGTTTTTGTGGCTAAGTTCAAATCACCATCCCTCATCCTTGAGCATTAGGACTGGGAACTGTTTCAGGGTCTCCAGGTTCCATGAACTCTGGGACTAGCCTCTGACCTCAGCAGGGTTCACTGACAAATTTGTGTGCAAGGCACACTGAAATGCAGGGGTGTTGCGGAATATCTGTCTACACTGTGAAGATGTGTTTCTGCCTAAGGTGCCTTCTGAACAGATAAAGAGCTAAATGGCCAATCGCTAGACAGGAGAGAATAGGCAGGACTTCCAGGCAGAGAGGGAGGAACTGGGAGGAGGAATGTAGGCTTGTGATTTGGCCAGCAGACTCGGGACAAGTCAGATGTGCTGGACTAAGAAGAGATAACCGAGCCACGTGGCAGAACGTAGATTAAAAAATTACGTGTTATGTAAGTTATATGAGCTAGTTGGGGAAAAGTCTAAGATAAGGCCATGCTTTCATCATTAATAATAAATCTTCGGGTCATTATTTGTGGGCTGCTGGTTCAAAGACAGCCTGACAAGACAGCTTGTTGCACAGGGGTAATGAGGGCACATGATGGGCTTTATATACAATTTAAACACGAAAACCGCAATCCTGATCCCGTCTCACAGCACTTGCTACATTAATTCAAGCTGAGCCATGGCGCTGACACTCAGTGCAGGACACCCTGGGGTTTGATGGCAGCTTTTTCTCTAAGGCTAGAAGACTTTGTGATACTCAAGGCTGGACACTTGGCTACCTGGAAGCAACCTGGTTCACATGCAGGCACAACGAGGCCACGACATGGCCAGGGAGGGCTGTTCCTGCCTCAGAACCACACAACTGAAGCCCTTCCTCTACGTGTGAGACCCAACAGGTTTCCGACTCTCTCAAGGGTGCTCGTTTACTGCAACAAAAGAATTATTTCCCAGAGCACATCTTCTCATCAGTGCCCCAGCAGATTCCGAAGCAGATTCTGATTCACGCCCCCTGCTGAAGCCAGCTTGTCTTCCTTACCCTGTTCTTTTCTTAGAAAAGAGACAAATCTGCCAAGGGGGTTCTGAATGGCAAAGCAGAAATGCCTCCCAAGTCAACCACTTCACACTCAGGAGCAGCCTCTGTGTGTAAACTTCCTCCTGACTCTAGGCTGGGAACAGGAAGTCCACTGCCTTTCCCATGGCAGGTGGCCGCTTCCCAAGCATATTAAATTCATACAAAAAAAAAAAAAAAAGCCCAGTCAGCTGGAGATGGATCAACTTCAGGAGTCCCGTGAGTTTCTGAGACTAATGTTTGTTTGTCCCAGTAGGAAAAAAAAAAAAAAAAAAAAAAAAAAACAAACCCAAAACAAGGCCTCTCCTGTGACCAGCCTTCCCCACAGGAACATGACTCACACCTGCTCCTTTTGAACTGTTTCTCAGCTTGTGAAACACTATGGATTCTAGTATCCAAATCTATGCCGGCGCGGTACACCCTCATGCAAATTTCGAGGCCTACTGCATCCCTTAAACTTTGCACTAAATACCGACTCGTCTCACAACGCACTAGGATGAGGGCTGCCCAACCGCTGAGGTAAAAGAAAGCTGTGGGGGTGCCAGGAGCAGCACTTAGTACCCACAGAGCTGCCCTTGGTAGACCTGAAGTCCGCTGAGAAAGGACACCGATGCACCACTCTTTCCTTGAAGACGTCAGGGCATGCGATGGGCAAGCCAGTGGCTCAATACGGCCTGCTGCCTACTCCACTTTGTAAGGCCCTTCTAATTAAGAGGGCTTTCACAGTTGCAGACAGTTGTGGGGAGACAAAACAAAACAAACAAACAAACAAACAAACAAACCCCAAACAGGAGTATTCTGTGAGAAGAAAATGGGAGAAATTCAAATTTTAACATAAAAAATATATATATATAAAGTTTTAGTTGGGCACCACTGACCCAAGCCTGTAATGCTGGCATCAGGGGTGCTGAGGCAGGAAGATTGTCCTGAGTACCAGGCAACCCGGGCTACTAGCATTCTCCTTCTCAAAGGTTCTACACTTGCTGGTTTCTGTGAAACTGTATCACTGTGGCAGAGCTGAGGGGTAAGAAAGAGTGAGCATAGAGTCCACGGCACCACAAATACTCTCCAGTCTGTGAGAGAAATTTCCTCAGTCTATGTGGAGGCCCACAGAGGAGCCACAACCTCACATGGTGCAGACACACACCCGTGTTCCTACTGGACCTCAGTCCTGCAACTGCAAGGTGCTAACTCCTGCACACCATCTGATGGTGCCTCGTGTGGGACTAGGCTGACCCACACCTTGAATTCAACTTCCCAGGATCCTAAGCACAGTCCCTAGCCCCTCTGTGTGGTGTTCCTGCCCACTGTCCACACACCCAGGGCATCTGTACCTCATCTCACCATCCGAGGCTCCATTCAAGACTGTGCTTTGCTGAGGAAGACTAGGCAGGTATCTTTTGTACAGACATAAAGAAACTTGGCAATTCCCTGGCATTCTTTCACAAGTGAAGCTGAACCTGTTTTGAAAAGCGTTTCTAGAAAACTCCTACACTGGTCTTGACAAATCAGTGGGAACCTCCCTTGATGTTTACCCCCGAGACACAGAACAACAGCTGAGCCCTGCCTTAAGGCGTGCACATCAAAAACAGGCACACTGCTACCAACCTGTACCCGATGAACCCATCGGAATACTTTCTTATTCCCCTTGGCAACTCATTCTGGGAAGGACCATTCTCTTGACCCAGTGAGCCTCTAATTAAGAGGCTACAAATAATATTTGGATGCTGAATGCCCTACACCAAGGACCATATGTGAAAAGTTTTGTCCCCAGCTTGGCAACACTGGGGACCCTTTAAGAGGTGGAGCCTAGTAGGAGGGTGCCTTCAAGAGGATCCTATCAGGACTGCAGCCCTTTAATGGCTGTTTTTCTCTTTCTATCCACAAAGTGAGAATCTCTGCTCTTTCTACTGTAACAGCTGCCTCACCGTAAAAGCAATGGAACTCCCTTTTGCTCCCAAACTAGGAGCTGATGTAAATATTTCTCCCAGTAAGCTTATTATCTTGGAGGCATTTCTGGAAGCCACGCTGACCAAACACTGAGACATACATGGTACCATGGGTATACTGCTATCACATGACAACTCTAACTGCTGCAGTATTTTGTTTTACCAGAAGCAGAGACAAGACAACAATTTTGCCAACACCCCAGGGGGGTGTGCACAGGAGAGTATGCCCAAAGAAGGATGAGCTCAACCTTGCTTCTGGTCCATGCGACGCACAGGGATAAAGTGGAAAGCAGATGGTTTGTGACCTGGTGTTGGGGCTATCTGAGGTTTAGACTCTTAGTGCAAGAGAGTGACTCTTGACCACAAAGCTCCATGTGAACCTGCTCTACAGATCTGTCAGGTTTGCCAAAGGCTTGGGAGAGCTCTTGAATCTGGCTTAACAGTAATAACTGTTGCATCATTGCATTAAAAGTTAAATTGCTCATGGAAAAGATGATCCAGGATTGCTATCGTCCCATACTTCACAGAGACAGGGGTGCCTGAGAAACCACGGTGCAAAGTGCCAACCAGCACTCGTGGACTAAAGAAGATGGGATGGGAATAAAGTGTTGCACAAAGTCACAGAACCAACAAGTTTATCTCTAGCAATAAAGATAAGCCCTCTCTCTTCTAATGCTTCCCTATACCCATAGTAACAGAGGGAACAGCTCTGGAGTTACTAATCCTAAGTGGCTCAGGAAATACATACAGCATGTCAGGGCAGTTGTCCGGCTTGTCCAGAAGGCCGCCCTCCATGACGAAGCGAAGAACTTGCTCGTTGGACAAGCCTTGGTATGGCTGCTCAGCCAACGTGGCAATCTCCCAGAGGACGACCCCAAAGGACCTATGGGAGAAACAAAACATGAGTGGCTAAGAGAAGGACGGGCAGAATCGTGTCCCATTCCTTGTTAGCATTTCTCCAACCCCCGGTGCTGACAAGGTGCCCTCAATGTGGTGACAGCACTCTGTGTGTCAAACCAGCTACTTGACTAAGTGTGGGATACCTGGCCTTCTCTGTCCCTGCTGATGCTCCCTGTAGGGCCACTGTAGCCCAGGAGGCACGGCTGAGACAGCTGAGGTTATGGGGAGTCTAGCATCCCTCACACAGTTTCAACTTCAGCGCCAGGTCCCAGTCTGGTCACTAGCTTGGGACAGCTAAACACCGTAACTATCTCCTTAGGGGATTCTTTTTGTCACAGTTCTATGCTAATGGTTCTCCACACCACTGCAAAGGAAGATCTACATGGAGTTCTTAAAAATCGATGAATATCAGGGCTCCCCAGAGCAGTTCTGATCTGACAGGTGTGGTGCAGGGAGCTGGCTCTTGGAATATCTAAAAGTTCTGTAGGATCCTGACTCGGGACAAGGAAGATGAAAACCCATCCCTTACAGAACTCAGGAGCCACTGGCTGGTGACGCAGCTGTGTCAGGCAGGGAGCTGGGGTGAGATGCATGTCACAGTTAACTAAAGAGTCCTTTGGTAGGGATGCTGGCTGAGGTATAAACTCAGCAGGCAGAGCAGTGAAGGAACTCTACCGTGTGTGTCAGCCCCGATCAGACTATAGGAGATCCATGCATGCAGAAACTATAGACAGGTAACAAGCTGATATTGTCAACTGCGCGTGAATACACCTCGGAGAGAATCCCTGGCCTATTTGCTCTCACACTTGGGCTGTGTTAACGCAATAAAGCCAAGTCAACACGAAACTTGGGATGGAAACCCTAGGGGGGGGGCACACAGAAGAGCCTGGGGCCAGCATTTTCCACTTAGCCTAAGCTGGAGCAGGAAACCTCTGATTGAATCATAATGTTTGGCTTGCTGCTTCAGCTCCCTTCTATGAACAAAAGGTTTCTGTACAAATTGATACCAAGCAATGTTAGACAGAAATAGAACCTTAGCAGTCAGACCCAAGGTTCTTTTGAACTAGCAGTGACTAAGATTTAGTCTTCAAATTGTACAAAAGAGCCAAAAAAAGTCACTCTGCAGTGAAATCATTGTTCTGAAAACCCTGGGCTCAGAGAAATGGGTTTCCTGTCAACGTCAGTCATGGACTCTGCCTTCCACAGCCTACGTGGCCACATCAGAGATAGCCTTTGGAGGCTGCAGCGCTCACCCTCATGTCTGAAATACGGCCCGGGACAAGCAATGATATATATGATTTTTCTGTTTTGTCAACTGCAGGCTGGTCTTGACAAGGTTTCCTTCCAGGCCAACTTCCCTTGTTTCTAATGCTTTCCCTGGAGCCCCACAGGCTTCTAGGTATCCAGTTGCCTTGACCCTGAGCACTGACTACCTTTTCTAGGGACTCAGCATGGCTCCAGATTAACTCTCTCAGGCACCCCGTTCGCCGCCCCGTGCTCCACACCAGTCCGCTAACACGGAGGAGGTGAAGACAGAGCACAGAACAAGCAAGAACAAAGCTGTCTAGAGACAGGCTGGCCTGCCTGCCCTTCTGAGGGAGGAGCCAGTCCCTGGAACATTTCCACAGAAGCTCAAGTAACAGCTGTGATAATTGTAGTAGATAGGATTCGGGGCTTGGCTTGACTTGAAGGTCCCTCCTGAAGCCCATGTTGCTAAGGTCTCCTACAAAGTTAAACGAAACTCCTTGAAATCATTTTGAATTTTTGCCTACTTAGGAACAACTGTCTTATGACTGTGAATTCATTCTTAAAATGACAGCCATTCTCCTAAGAGGTACAGGTCCAGCTAGAGCTGAGAAACAGTTTACAGACTCCAATGTCCTTGCTGTCTTCAGCTGTAAGCTCAAAGGCTGGGCTGAGAAAATATCCAAAGCACTGTCAATGCCTTAGCATTCGGGGGAGCAAATTTCAAATGCCTTTCCTGTTGGTCTGTAACGGCTGTGTAGTCAGAGTGGAGAAGATCGGCAGGGAGCACGCTGCATGCCCCTCGCTATAGCTTGTATTGACAGCTGCTACCCAGGACTGGGGCAGAAGGAGTCTGGGCGAGACTTCACTTTTATTTCTTATGCTGACTCTGTTTTCCCACCCTGCAAGCTGACCTCAGAGCTTCGAGAAGCGTGAAGCCAAGAACTAACAGATGGAAGTGTGGCCCTAGGCGTGCCCTCTCCTGCCACCTCATCTCAACACGGAGCAGAGTACTCTGATTTAGCAGAGAAGAGGTGACCTCGGATGGGCTAAACTGCAGCACGGGCTTCATCCCTGCGTCGGGAAACAACCAGGCTGTGCTGGGTCGGATTCAAATGCTATTTCCAATTTGCACCTGTCTTCCAAATAAGATACAAGGCTCTTGACTGGGAAAGGTTCACGAGGCTAAAATAATGATGTCAGTCACTACTGGGATGGTTCTCCCATGCGGTCATCGGTGGCTGGAGTAAACAACCACCTTTTCTGTAACACAAGAGCAACGGGATCTCCCGAGAGGAGAGCCAAGACACTTGCTGACATTCGAGGAGGGGGATGTGCCAGAGCTCTCGCCTGCCAAGAACTCCAGTTGTATTTTGGAACCTGATGACCTCTAAACAGCGTTTCCAAGGAACCGCAGTAAACAGTACTACAGAGAACTTTTAGCACCCCCTTGGCCGGTGTGCATCCGCCACAGACGCTTTTATTACTAAGGAAGATGCTTTGGGTCAGCAGAGATGGACGTCCATGGGGTGCGTCTGTGTCAGACACGAGATGGGACCAACAGGAAGCCACAAGCAAGACCCTGAAGTTTTGGGTTTAAATAAGGCACTGCCTGCAATCTGAATGTTCAAGGAGGTGAGGCAGGAGAGGCAGGAGCACACACACACAGTATTAACCTCCTAAGAGTGAGAAAAAGAGAAGGAAACAGGCAGGAGAAATAGAAGCGAAGGCTTAGACGTTTGGCATTTCTTTATTCCTTAGAAAAAAATCAGTATCAGCTAAAAAGGGAAGGGAATATGTTGATTCTACACGTGCCTTGGAGTCCCACAAATCCCCTTTTGTTTTAATGGACTCCACGCAGGAATATCTCAAAGATAAAGGGCTATGGGAGCACTGAACGCTGCACTCGGGCTGGCCATAAGTGACAGTGAATGGAGACCAGGAACCCAGGAGCCTGAACCAGAAGCTGGAGGGTCCAGGCTAGCCATGCGGGGAAACTTTCTTACCAGACATCTGAGTGAGTAGTGAAGACTCCATCCTTGAGGGACTCGGGAGACATCCAGCGCACAGGCAGCAGCCCCTTCCCTCCTTTCCGGTAGTAGTCTGTCTCGTAGATGTCTCGTGTCATACCGAAATCTGGAGGGTGCAGAGAGGATGCAGTAACTTAGCTGACCAGGTCTTAGGGCAGCAGCAAAGGTGATGTGGCTGCCCTAGCAGGGGTCCTTGGCCTTCCTCCACATTCAAGGCAAGACTCGTTCTTATTGCACTCTGAAGAGGCTTAGCATGACCGTTTGTAATTTTATAAGGTAGACATAGTAGGACAAGATCAGTCAAGTAAAGACATCTCTGGGCTCAATAGTTTATAATCTAGTTCTGCATTTACAGTGAGAGGCAGTTTGCAAATTACTGAATATTATGGTTTATCAAGAAACTATATGCTGTCTAGACCAAGGATGAGTGGCGCGTAGTTTTAAAGCCTGACCAAATACACTAGAAGATGTGAACCTCACTGACTTGGTAGCATGGCTCTGCTGCTGAGGAAAAGGCCTTTCACCCCTTAACAGGGGAGAAGGTATTCGGAGTGACAACTCACGAAGATGACAGGACACAGCGAGCGGGTGAGATGCTCTTCACCAGGCTCCTGGAGCTATTACCCAACACCTTTTCCCAACACAATACTCCCACTCATTTTTGAAAATTTCTTCCACTTTCTGAGTCTCCTGAAGGTGTCACATAACAATGGTTGATGGCAGGCTGGCTTTATAATCTCACATTATTGTGTCTTCATCAAATTTTGATTTTTCCACTCAATCACACCACCACCCCTTTCTCACATAAACCCTTCCATTCTCCTTCCCGGGAGGAAGAGCCGCTCTACTTTAAAAATGTCCCGTCACACCTCTAAGTGGTGCCACAAAGAGGTCACAAAGGCAGAGCAAGCCCCACGAGAACGAGGCTTCTTGGATGTTAACCAACACTGTTGACTTTCACTGTTTTCAAAACGACCGGCTGCCTCCGGTGAACTGACTTAGGGTGTGTCATCCCCCGAGATGGGGGCACTGGGGGACACTGAGGAACCCGCCTGAAGAGGAAAAAGGAAGTGCTCAAGTCTCATCCCTGAATTAATCCAGCGACATGCAAACGAGAAGATCTGCTTTGACTTGCATAAAAGGGGAATTCTAGAAAAACGATCTCTCTTCCTAAACGCAAAAGAAAAACAGAACAACCCCTACCTTCCTAAACACACACACACACACAAAATTTAATTCTAGAAAGAAAAAAAAACATCACAAGTACAAGACAAACTATCCTCATAAATACGCCATATGGTTAAACAGCAAATATAATTCTTACTGATTTGGACTTAAAATGGCAAGAAACACAAGAATTTTTCTCTACTCTAATCAAAGTGGGACAAAAGCAGCCTTAACTGAGGTTCTGCCTGTGCTGAGGGGGGGCCCATGGAGTGCGGGATGGGATGAGGACAAGGGCACTGGCTTGCTGTCTACACCAGGTCCTTCATGCTCATGTCCTGGCTTTCAGAGGTGGAGAAACATGCCCCCAAAATGGAAGGCAGCCATTCCAGGTCACTCAGGAACACAGTGGTTTCCTCTGAGAAGTAAAATAGGGTCCCCTCCCCACGCATAAGTGTGGGAATAGCAAACAGGAAGGATCACAGAGGCTGGTAAGAGGATGACTTTTATCTAGAAACTCTGGGGCAGGAGAGCTGCCTCTTGGCAGTTGCCCACCAAGCTGGGTTCCCAGGGTTCCAAAAATGAGTGTGAAAGTTCAGGGACAGATATGCTGGGGGGGACAAGACTCTGAGTAAATCCAGTGACTGATGTCAGCTCTATAAAATGGCTGCATGCGAACACCCGTGCAATCAAAGCAAAATGAAGACGGACAGCCCTACTTTAGGTATCTCTGTAGAGAAGATGTTCGTTGCTCACTTACGAGACTAAAAAGTTCATTAAAAAAAAAAAATCACTGCAAGGGTTGAGGCAAGTAAAACCTTTCTAGAACACATGTTCAAGAGGTGGCCAAAGGCAGTGGCTGAGAGCTTTTGCTACTGCCCCTCTGCTCCTTCTCAGGAGGAACACATGGTATGAACTGAACTGCTGGCCTACCTCAGTAGGAAGGTAAAGGCCTGGCACATGCATGTAGTTTCCTAGGCAACTTTGTCACTCCCTTCTTTTTTATTTTTTTTAATTATTAAAAGTCAAAAACAAAGCCAAGCCCGGGATAGTTGTGGCAGTGGTGGCGCACACCTTTAGACCCAGCACTAGGGAGGCAGAGGCAGGTAGGTCTCTGTGAGATCCAGGTCAGCCTGGTCTACAGAGTCAGTTCCAGGACAGGCGCCAAAGCTACACAGGGAAACCCTGTCTTAAACAAACAAACAAAACACACCAAAAAGAAAAAAACCCAAAAACCAACCAAACAAAAACAAAACAAAAATTCAAAGCCAACAGCCAGTCAACTGGAAGGCTACGCAGAGTGTCTAGCCAGTGACCGGAAATACAGCCCAGTCAGGGTTTTATGATCACAGTTTTATGTTGGTAGCAACAAGGGGTCAACAGGTAGGCTGAGCAGCTACCGTCATGGTGTGAAGTGCGATGTGTGACAGAAAGGTCAAGAGCTTGGAGCTACCACTGGGGGATGCAGCTCAGTGGTAGTGTTTAACTATGTTTAACTAGCCTACACGAAGGTCCTGGGACGTTTCTGGTAGTAGGAGAGGAGGGGGTACCTCTGAGACGACCAGTGTGTCAAACTAAGCCGTGCTCTCCCCTCACCTCCTGTGGACTGACATACCTACCTTAGCATCACCATTACCCCACACAGGAGCTTCACCATAGGGGCACTGCCTCCTGGGAACCTCACGGGCCTATCTAGGGACAATGTTCTTTGTTAGCTAGAGAACTTGAGGGGGGATTGGATGCTGACTTTTATCCTCAAACCAGAATTACTCGAGGAAGCAAGCTGTCCTGATTATTTATGTAACTCATATTCTACCCGAGAACCAAGGCCCCTATTTGGACCACCATGTTAAGGGGTTCTCAGGATGAGAGCTAGGAATAGCAAGTCACACTGACTATATGCATCTTTGCACTCAGGACACGCCATTGTACCTCTGGAGCATACTGAAAACCTCTCCAGGGGCAATCTAATCACTGCAAAGGCCCTAAAGCACCTTGAACACCTTGAGTTTGGTTTCTGCTCCAATCAGGAAAGCAAAGGACACACCTCCAATTTTGACTGTGAAATCTTCAGCCACCATACAGTTCCGAGCAGCAAGGTCTCTGTGGACAAACTTGTTGGCGTTGAGGTACGCCATGCCGTCTGCAATCTCTCCAGCCATCTGGATCATCTTGCTTAAGCTCGGAGGAATCAGGACCAGATTATTCTGCTGCAGATTAAAAGACAAGCCAAAACATGAGCATCTGGGACTTTTTTTTCCCCCCTACCTGCACGTTTATTCTAGAGGTTGTAAATCCATGTTTATTTAATCTGAGCACCACAGGTCATCTGTAGGGAGTTAGGTATTGCTCAGAAGGAACGTATCATTGCTGCGGGCCAGCCATGCGGGTGGCCGGGTGCCTGGGACACAGCCCTGCCACTTCTGGGGTCACCTGCTTGTGATAAAATCACAGGCTTGCTCCCTGACCATATCACAGGGGGGCTAGGAGAAACACCGATTAGTACTCCTTGGGACCACTGTTACCTTTTTGCTTCTCTTTTTCCACCCCACCCTCATGTATGCATATACTTGAATGTGGAAGCCTAAAGCTGATGACGGAAATCGTCTTAAATTGCTCCACCGTTTTTCACTGAGGCAGGCTCTCCCAGTCAAACCCAAAGCTGGTCAACTAGTTTACGTCCCTTTGACTTCCACAATCACAAAGTGCCAAGGGAGAGGAAGGACAGCATACGAAGGACACATGGGACAAACGAGCTTCCTAAATGGGCACCGCGTGCTTGACTTCCCATGTAAGCTGCCAGGAGTTATTTGTCTTCATCCCCTTCTTCTAAAGTACAAGGATATGAAGACAAATGCTCTCATCATGGACTATTGTTTTCTATGGGCACTGAGGACAACTGAAGTTCAGATATTGTTTTCTATGGGCACTGAGGACAACTGAAGTTCAGATGGAGTTCACCTTGAAGGGGACCAAGGTCAGTGACCAACAGCATGGACAAACACCCTGTTTTGCAGAGGAGGGCAAGCCAGGAGACCTATGTCCAATCTCTGTGGTGGTCTAAATGAGAATGGCTTCCACAGACTCATAGGGAGTGGCATCATTGGAGGTGTGGTCCTGTTGGAAGAAGTGTGTCACTAGGGGTGGACTTTGAGGTTTCAGAAGCTCAAGTCAGGCCTAGTGGTTCACTGCCTCTCCCTGTTGCCTGTGGATCCAGATGCAGAACTCTCATCTACCCTCTCCGTGACCACGTCTATCTGTGTGCCACCATGCTGTCCACCATCACAACAATGGACTAAACCTCTGAACTGTAAGTCAGGCCCAATGGAATGCACTCCTTTGTAAGAGTTGCTGTAGTCATGGTGTCTCTTCACAGCAACAGAAACCTTAAAACAATCCCCAAATCAGGCATGGTAAACAAAGAGAACCAACTCCCTCAAGGTGTATGCAGACACACACACACACAAACACACACACACACACACCCTCCTCCAAGGCTCCCTGTCACCCTAGCCCCATGTGTAAAACCAATCATGATCCACAGTTTAGACACTAACTAGTTTGTGTGTCTGTTAGAGTGCAGTAAATGATGCCTTGGTTTTCCTAACTGCAAAGTCAGTCCGCCCCCGCCCCCATACACCCTGCAAGGTTCCCTGTCACCCTAACCACATGTGCAAAAACCAATCATGATGCCACAGCTTAGACACTAACAGCACAGAAGAGCTCAGTTATTGTGCCTTGGTTCCCCTAACTGCAAAGTACCTGGCACAGCACCGTGAAGTCACCTCACTTTCCAAAGCCCTATACATACATCACCCTCCTAAGTTATTTTGAGAGTCACAGGAAAAGCATGACAAGGTTTTGAGATCATACTATCTGGGCTGCTCTACACAGGTCCCACGGATTCTAGCCACGAAGAACACTCTTGCCCAGGGTTGCTAAGTTCTCACGGGATGCCTGAATCTACAAACCAGGTAACAGCCCTACAGCACGGCTAGGAGTACTTTCCACATTTGAGGCAGACTTGGTGGAGTTCATTATTTATTTATTTAAACATTTTTACTTTGATTCAGGGTCCCCTACCTCTAACCCAGAGGATGTTTCCAGCATCTGGAGGAAGCCTGAATCACTCATTTCTTTTACACAGGTGCTTCCCCCCCTCACACTGTCTTTACATATGCATGGCAAAGTAGGACCTCTGCAGGTGACAAGTATTTAGGCTCCTAACACATACCGGACTATGATCAACAGGACACTGACGCTCATGTGAAAAACCATCAACAAAAGGGACTCAGTTATATGCAGAGAAAGGCTGACTTTCTGTCAGATCGTGATACTATGCTGTCATTTTTTTCTTCACCTCAAGAGAGTAGAAATCTTTAATTTGGTCATAGCCCCCTAAGACGAGCACACATCCATACATTTATCAATGCGAATTCCAATGGGGGAGAGGTAGAATATACTGAAGCTGGAGCATGCACACTGGAGGTAGGGTATAGGCACCAAAGCTAGTGTGTGTATATAATAAAGCTAGGTCACACATGCAAATACTTTTTTTTCTTAGTCTGAGATCTGATGAATTTAAAGGTAAGTTCTGAAGAGGGCTTTAATAACTCACCTTTTCTCTCTAAATGATTTTATTAACATTTTATGCATATGGGTGTTTTGCCTGCATGCATGTTTGTGCAACACTTGCAAGAGTGGTGTTCATGGAGGCTGGAAGAACGGTAGTTACAGTCAGTTGTGAGCTGCCATGTGAGTGCTAGGAATCCAACCAGGGTTCTCTGGAAGAGCAGTCAGTGCTGTAACTGTTGCTTAGAGACATCTCTACAGAGGAAAACTGAGGCCCAGAGGCCACTCACAGATGCCTGAGGATTGGTTTTTTTTTTTTAAATATAATTTTTTTATTGAAAAAAAAAAAGATTTCCGCCTCCTCCCCGCCTCCCATTTACCTCCCCGTCTCCCTTCCCCCCCCCCCCTCCCCCCCCCCCCTCCCCCCCCCCCCCCTCCTCTCCCCTTCCCTCTCGAGTCTGAAGGGCAGTCAGGGTTCCCTTCCCTGTGGAAAGTCCAAAGCTTCCCCCTTCCATCCTGGTCTAGGAAGGTGGACATCCAAACTGGCTAGGCTCCCACAAAGCCTGAACATGAAGTAGGATCAAAACCCAGTGGCATTGTCCTTGGCTTCTCAGCAGCCCTCATTGTCCGCCATATTCAGAGAGTCTGGTTTTATCCCATGGTTTTTCAGTCGTAGTCCAGCCATCTTAGGGTTGGCAAGAGATTTGGTGCTCCCAGGTGCCCAGGGCGATGTCCCCAGTTAGTTCCTGGGGCAGCTGAGGACAGAGAACCTGAAATGACCCTATCCTATAGCCATACTGATTAATATCTTGCATATCACCATAGAACCTTCATCTGGAGATGGATGGAGATAGAGACAGAGACCCACACTGGAGCACTGGACTGAGCTCCCAATGTCCCAAGGAGGAGCAGAAGGAGGGAAAATATGAGCAAAGAAGTCAGGACCACGAGGGGTGCACCCACCCACGGAGACAGTGGGGCTGATCTATTGTGAGGATTGGGGTTTTATTCTGTGGCAGAATTAGGACTGAAGGAGCTATGGGCTTATGGTGTTAGGAGGCACCTCAAAGGATCACTCTCCAGGCACCTATGGATTAAGCTCTTCTTCTGTAGACGGGGGTATTAGTGGGGCAGGAAAAAGGCTCCGCCAGGACCCATGCTGGGAGACACAGGCTGGAGTTACCAACCGCGCACTAAAAGCTCTGGTCCATACTCAGTCCTGTGGCTCTCCTCAAACCCCCAAAGTACAAGCTAAAAGTAAATGAGGGCGTTTGTGACCACGGACTCAGAACGAAAACGAAGGAACTGTCACTTTGGAGATGTTTATGTCGTAGGGGAAAAGAGAATGGGAAGAGAAACAGAAGGAGGAGAAGAGGGGGAGGGTTTCCCCCTGGAGGGGATACAGGCAGATAAGCTGCTCACCCAGAAGTCCTAAAGCCAGGGTCAGAGGGAGGACATCAGAACCACTGAGGCAGCCCCATTAAAGGCAGCTGGCCCTGGCAATAGTTCTCAACGTCTGCCTACCAGCTCACTCTCAGAATTAAGGACTGATAAATCAGAAGCTGGCTGGGGGTTAATGCAGCAGAAGGGGGAAAGACTCCACGGTGACGAATGGAAATCGACGCAGGACCTTATCAGGTTTACAATGTGAAATTTTCAGGTTTTCACTAGGCTAAGTAGAGGTCATGCACCTGGGATGATTATCATTTAAAAGTCCACGCAGGATACTGACTAATCATCGGGACTGAGAGGCTGATGCGGAGTTTGAGAAGTCTCCGAAGCAGAGTCGGGGTAAGGGAGGGAGAGCAGCATTTGCCATCAAGGTAAGGGCAGCATGCTCATGAGAGGGAGAAAGAGAGAGAGAGAGGGAGGGAGAGAGAGAGAGAGAGAGAGAGAGAGAGAGAGAGAGAGAGAGAGAGAGAGAGAGAGAGAGGGAGAGAAGCAGGCAGGTACATATGAAATGGGCTACAAGGTAAACAAACTGGGTAGGCCAAGGTCAAGGCACTGGCCAGCCTAAACACTGAACTTAACTAAGCAAGCACAAACACCACCCTGGAGTAAAGATGGGACACTCTCTGAGGACCACAACAAGAGAAAATTCATGCTAGGTGGAGCCAAGTCTATTGCCAAGTCAGTATCGGAGGCCATTCGGGGTGAGTGCAAAGGCTGTGGGAAGGGTTGGCCCTAATATATCCTAGGACTGGTGGGGGCTGCCATGAGATACAGGCAGGGGTAGAGGGAATACAGAAGCAAGAACACGGAGATGCTTGAGGTGGACTGGGTGGGATCCAAAGACAGGTAAGATCTTCTCACACAGATTTCCATCCCCTGGATCCAGGCTGAGAAGTAAGGGGATTTAAAAACCCGTATCCTACAAGGGAGCTCTTGACGGAAACGGAACAGGGAAGGTTAACACGGCGAGAATCAAAACTGACCTCCACTTCTGGCCTTAGAGACCGAAGATAACTTTTGAGATCCCCACGCGTCATTAGTTCCATGATGACCAGGGTAGGCTGGCCTTGGGACACCACACCCAGCAAGCGAACCTGGAGGAATCAAGAAGAGAAGGATTCAGAAGGGTAGGGCATCCCATAGGATGACCTATGCCTGTTGGAACTGTGTGGTGCCGGAGCCTGTGGTCAGGAGCAGAGTTCTGGTGAGAGGGTGAGGCCTCCACCTCAAAGGTCTACGGGGCCACAGGAAGGAAAGTAACAGGGAAAGTGTCCACTGGGTAGAAGGCAAGGCAGCAAGCCCAGCGTTGTGGCCGAGGGCACAGAAGGAATGCTTTCTGTCCCTGTAAGATACTCTCTTACCACGTGGTGACAGTTGAACTCCTTCATCACTGAGGCCTCGTTGAGAAACTCGATTCTTTCGCGCATACTTGCAGCCTCATTCACTGTCTTGATGGCTACTCTGGTTTCAGGTTCATCCTTGACCACGCCCTTGGCTACTCCTTCATAGACCATCCCGAAGGACCCTTGTCCAAGCTCCCGGTTCATGGTGATCTTCTCTCGAGCGACCTCCCATTCATCGGGTACGTACACTAGGGAGTAAGAGATGGAGATTGGAACAGGCATGGAAACAGCCCTTACACAGACTAGAGAATAGAAGATGCTGTTCCCTAAAACCCAGAGGAAAGTACTAAGGCACAATACAGTCAAAGATAGACCTTCAATCCTGAGGACTCAATGACACTTTGAGGGTGGTACCAGCGTCTAAGAACCCCAGGGAAACAAAGAAACCAAAGACAGGAAAGAAAGCAGTGCTTCCCTTTTCCTTCTCTAGAACAAAAAACCCCCAGACAAATAAAATAAAAAAGCAAATTAACCCTAAGAGATGAAGTAGGAATTTTTGCCCATCTTTATCAAGGCATTAAAAATAAATGTCAGAAAGAGAGAGCAGAGGGGGGGCGGGGAACGGATGGGAAGGTAAAGGTCCAGAGTGTGTGTGAGGACAGCTAATCTCCTCCTTCTCCGATGAGCCTAGAGGTGAGAAGCCTCCTCTTCACAGACTCTCGACTTATGCTAGTCAACAGAGCATCTGACACCAAGGCTGGCTTTTTGAGACTTTGAATATGGCTGCTCCAAATGACGCGTGCTGTAAGTAGAACATCCACCCTAATTCAAAGACTTGTTTAAAACAAGTAAACAAAACAAAACAAAAAAAGATAACCTTTAGAAGTTATTTCCCCCCCCTTCAGACAGGGTTTCTCTGTGGCTTTGGAGCCTGTCCTGGAACTAGCTCTTGTAAACCAGGCTGGCCTCGAATTCACAGAGATCCACCTGCCTCTGCCTCCTGAGAGCTGGGATTAGAGGAATGTACTATTACCACTGGGCCCTATAGAAGCATATTTATTTATTTATTTATTTATTTATTTATTTATTTATTTATTTATTTCAATGTGACAGCCCTAGCTGTCCAGGAACTCTCTTTGTAGACCAGGCTGGCCTATTTTTATTTACTTGTACACATGAAACAAATCAATCTTTCTTTCAGTGTGTGTGTGTGTGTGTGTGTGTGTGCGTGCGTGCATGCACTCGTGTGCGCTACAGTGTTTGGATGCCTGGGCAGGCCAGATAACAGTGCTGGATTCTCTGAAGCCAAGTTACAGATGGTTGTGGGCCTCTTCATGTGAGTGCTGGGAACTGAACCCGAGTTTCTCCAGAAGATCAGCAAGTATTCTTGACAACTAAGCCATTTCTCCAGCCTTGTATTACAAAGACTTGGTTAAAAATAGGTTTAAAAAGATTACTTTTATATTAAAACTGATGTATTAGGTTAAATAAAAAATACAACTAATTTATTTATTCCATCAGCTTTGTTTTACACTTAAAAACGTAACTACTAGTCACAGTGGTAGCACTTGCCCGTGAGTCCCTGCCAGCACTTGGGGGATGGAGATTAGAGAGGGGCTTGTTACTTTGAAGACAGCTTGGAATATGTTTCCAAAAGTCAAGGGGACATGTCAGGGACCGCTGCGCTGATCAGACTCTTAGTGCATGTACCTCATCCCACTCTTTCCGCAGCCGTGTTGGAAACATATCGGGACAAACCCAATATGGCAGAGATGGAGAAAGAAACTCATCGAAACAAAACTAAAGCAGGCAGAAACTCCAGAGGAAACGCCTCAGGCTTCAAAAGAAATGACAGAGGAGCAGAAGTGAGTGGGAGAGCTGGAGAGGAGCGTGCTGCAGGAATGCCGTGTGTACCACAAGCACTGCCTGCCTGTTTCCCTCTGGAAGCTGCCAAGAGGTGGGAGCACCTGTGAGTGACCATGCTGCCCATCTCGCAGCTAAGAAGGGAGAACTGGTGAGGATGGAGACTGTGCCTGCCTTGCCCATCTGAGTGGAAGGAAGAAACAGGGTGTGAGGTAATGAAAACTACAGTGGAACTCTAAAGCTTAAAGCGCCCTGCAGACTACACAATGCCATTTAATCCTAGCACTGCTGTTGTGCTGTTCAAGTGATGCGAATTACTGGAATGCATAGTGGTTCTAAAAAAAAAAAATCAGTTTTATATACGGGTGTTTTGCCTGCATGTGTGCACATGCCTGCGTATGTATATAGACAATGCCTGAGGAGGACAGACATCCGCATCAGATCCCGTGGAGCTGGAGATACAGATGGTTGTGAGCTGCCGTGGGTGCTGGCAATCACATCAGGGTCCTCTGGAAAAGTAGCCAGCGTCCTCTTTAGACCCAGAATGTATAAATTTTTAAAAATAAAAGTTGTAAGCATCTAACCAATGAAACAAAACTAAACCCAGAGGTTGTAGCTCAGTAGTAGAATGCCTGCCTAATGAGGGAGCGGCTCAGGATCCCACTGCAGGGGATCTCTAGAGAGGCAAGTGGGGTCTGGGACTGAGGAGGACTTTGGCCTGGACTCTGTAACCTCCGTGACCTCCCTGACAGGAACCTGAACAGAATTCTTTCTCCAGCTTCCACTGTTGGTTATATCTGATCTGGTTTGAGAAAAAAGGAAGCTAGTAAGAAATCATACACAAGCGCCGTTACACAACTTCAGTGGGCAGAGTGAGAACTGAAATCATATTAAACTAACACATGGGATCTGTATAAAGAATACTCATCCCGCTAGAACCATCATCGAGCACGGACACTGACAGCCCATCTAAAGGAGGATGGCCAGCGGACACTGCCTCAAAGCAAGAAGGAAGTCCTGATTCAGATGGGGCTTGGAAGGGAACTGTGGCTGTGTTTGCTTTGATGCTTTCAGACGCTGAGCTGCAGTTGGAGGCGAGAGGCCACTAGCAGGCTACCATAGTATTCTAACATCCTCATATGACAGGCACTTACTTGTAAGTGATGCCTGAAAGGAAGGATGTTTATTATAAATTTCCACCAATTTATATTCTGAAGACTGTAACATATACACTTGTAGTGGTCTGAATAGGAATGAACCCCATAGGCTCATAGATTTGAATGCTTGGTCATTAGGGAGTGCCACTACTTGACAAGGATTAGGAAGTGTGGCCTTTTTGGAGGAAGTATGTCCCTGAAGGCGGCTTTGGGGTTTCAAATGCTCAAGTCAGGCCCAGTGTCTTCCTCTTTGCCTGCTGCCTATGGGTCCTGAAGCAGAACTCATAGTTACTTTCCAATACCATATCTGCCTGCATGCCACCAGGTTTCCCACCATGACGGTCATGGATTAAACCTCTGAAACTGTAAGCAAAGCCCAATTAATTGCTTTCCTTTTAAGAGTTACTGTGGTCATGGCGTCTCTTCACAGTAATAGAACGCTGACTAAAACATCTATTTTGGGACAGAAATCCTCTAGATAGTTCAGGCTTGACTCGAACTTGCTGCCCTTGAATTTACAATTTTGCTGCTTCAGTCTCCTCAGCGCTTGGATTACAGGTGTATGCCAGTGCACCTGGCTCCTATGCACATTTTTGTATCAGATCATTACAATGGCACACACAAGTCTGGAAATTTCTTAACAAGAATTCTGTCCTCCATCGGACTCGGATAGCTTGTGACTCCGCAGAGGCTGATCTTGTTTAGGAGAGCACAGGAAATAAGGTCTTTATAATCTCTCAGTAAGGACGGGGGGTCCCTGTCTCCATTTATTATCTTCAAGGATCCAGGCTAGCTGTTAGTGAGCATTAACTACGTGGCTTGCCGTAGAACATGGAGTTAAAGCCAACTACATCCATTCCTTGGGAGGTCCCTGAAGCTAATGCCCGCAAACCCTTTTCTAAACTCAATCCAGCAGCTGACTTTAGCCAGCATACCTCAGCTTCAGCAGGCAGAGTGGTTCCTAAGTGCACACAATATTATCAGCACTTTCCTGCAGGGGATTCTTAGTGCACTCTTGACAACAGAGACATGCAGATTAACTTTGGAGAAAGAAGTCTGTAAGCACCTCTGATCTGCAATGTCACTTTGTAGCTCTTTGAGGGAAATGGTGCTTGTCAAAGGGACAAATAAGTTCAGATGAGGTGACAATGTTCTCACCTGTTGGCCTGAGTGGCGACAAGATTTTTCTTGCTTTGCTTTGAAGGACAGCAAGACTATTTCTCCCTTCCACACTATTGCTTTTTTACAAAAGCAGTTACTGGGCTGGACACCATGGCTCTGTGGTTCAGCTACTTAGGAGACAGAGGTGGGTGTGAGGCTCACTTGAGCCCAGGAGTTTGAAGCTAGCCTGTATTACATAGTAAGGCTTTGCAGGAAGGCCCTGCCTCCAAAAAGGAAAGTTCTTTGTATTAACAGTGCACATGGGGCTTCTTGATTTTGCTTGTTTGCTTTCTTGTTTGTTTTTGGTGGTGTGGGGAGAGAGCCTGGGTTCTGATAGGCAAATGTTCTACCACTAAGCTACATATCCAAACCTACTTTGTTTATTTTTAAAGGAGGAAGATCTTTTCCATAAGTGACTATGCTCTTAAGTGTGGTACACATCCTTCTATGTTATTTTCTATGCTTTACAGACACAGACATACGCATGTATGCCTATTTAAAAAATAACTCTGAGACCTTTGGTAAACAGTAATAACATCGTTATTCTGCACCTGATTCAAATTCAGAAGAGGCTGTTTTTGATTGGCTTTACTATAAACATAATTCAGTTAGAAATGATTAAAGAAACCATAGTAAAACCGTACAGATTTACACAGGGCTTTTACCCAAGTGTTTCTCTGTTTTTGTATTTGAACAGGGAAGCCAATCAGAATAATCCTGTTTCTTTTCTCTGGCACATCTACTTACCTTTCTGCAGCAAGAAGGCAGCAGAACAACATTTCCCCCGAAGGCATCCACCACACTCAAACAGCCCTGCACATTCCCTGCCAGACCTGCTTACAGCTTCCCTTCCTGACCTGGCAACCTCACAGTTTTTCCAAACACCACTTTATCAGAATTCAGGTGGAGAGGCTGGGGATGCCCCCTCTTCCTGACTTCCTACTGTTCGGTTGTGTGAGCCTGAACAAGTCCTTCTCAGAGATTCTTTCCTTGCCTGCATAAGATAGGTGTGAGAAACGCTACAGGGGCTTAGCGAGCAAATCGGATAGTTTTTGGAAAGGCCACTGATTTAAGGATGGCATTACTTCTCCCCAACTTAGCTGAAACGTCTGAAGTTAGGCACTAGGTAATAAAGAGACAGTTAAAAAGAGAAAAGAAGAAATAACCAGTAGGTACAACCGAGGTTCCAAGTCAGAGCCATTAAATTAAATGACTTTCATTTACTGCTAAGGGGAATATAAATTGGGTAAAGGCTGTACGACCCCAATCAGGACAGAATAGCAGAGGGATTCCACGATCATACATAGCTATGGAGCCCTGACTGGTATGGGAAGAACTGGAGCCCGGCCAGAGCTGAAGCCACTCCGCACTCCAGGTCAGCTGCAGCTCTTCCTCTAACAAGGAGGACAGCAGTCAGAAGGTTTCTTTCACTCTGCTGTACCATTTCAAGCAATCGAGTGAACCGACGTCTAGTCTACCCATAAGTACCTGCAGAGCCTGGTTTTCACTGGGACATCTGGGAGTCCCAGAATTTTTGACAAAGTCACTGAGTGTTAAAAATGTTATTAAGAGACAAAAAGGAAATGCTATCAAAGGCAGATCACAGGGCAACAGAACTTCAAAATTAAGCAAAGCTTTTTATCCAGGTAGTAACACCGAGAGCTCCCATAGTCCCCGACCCTGGTCAGGATCCTTACCGTCAGCTGCGCTGAAATACTCGGGGTTCACAGAGGCATACAGCACTCCATTGCCCAACCTGCTGTTGTTTCTGTCAAAAGATATGAAATCCAGGTCAACAGCCCCATTTCTACACATTACTGTAAACACTTTCATCTTTGTCTTCTTCCTGTTTCATGAGTTGTCTTGAGGAAGACACAGAAAGCATGCTCACTGCCAACGGAACCTTGGTCTGCATTCCTGATTCAGACCCTGTGGGCTAGCAGATATCTGAGGTTAGGCCCTTCAGCTCCATTGGTGGCCTCAGATAAAGAGTTTTTTTTTTTGGGGGGGGAGGGGATTTGAGACAGGGTTTTTCTGTAGCTTTGGTGTGTGTCCGGAACTAGCTCTTGTAGACCAGGCTGGCCTCGAACTCCCAGAGATCCGCCTTCCTCTGCCTCCCGAGTGCTGAGATTAAAGGCGTGTGCCACCACCGCCTGGCCAGATAAAGAGTTTTTAAAGAAGCATTTGCTTCTTTGCTTCACTAGTAATAACAAGGCTCCCTTGGTAGAAGAGCCCGGAGAAGCTCTTCACAAGGTAAGTACTCTGTGAGCCACTACAGCCAAGAAGGGAGAGATGGGAGCTGGTTGGTGGCAGTACTTGGGAGGCAGAAGCAGGAGGATCTTGGTGAGTTCAAGGCCAGCCTGGTCTACAGAGCAAGTTCCATGACAGCCAGGACTACACAGAGAAATCCTGTCTCAAAAAGCCAAAAAAAAGAGGGAAGATGGGTACCAAGAAAGAAGCATGCCCCCTTCCTGTCGTTAATCATTAGAAAATGTTCTTTTTGCCTCTGGAGAACGTCCGACTAGGAACTCGGGTTGTCCAGTCCACACAGTATTTTCCCCCACGGACGATCTATGTGCAACTCCAAACTGTCACACCACCTGGCTCCAACTACCGTCTTCTGCTGGCCCAGACACTCACCTCTTTCTATGGAAGACATACAACATGATCCCCAGTCCTCCCACAATCAGCAGGATGGCTACCGGCAGAGCGATGATCAGATGCATGAAGTTCTCATAGGTTGCTGCGGAAACATGGGGAAACGGGAAGGTGTCAGGAGGTGGACAACTGGCTTGTCTTGCTTTTATCTATAGTTGGAAGTATGATAAAAAAAAAAACACCATTTCTGGAGAAGCCCTTACTCCTCCCCCTCACACTCTAGGAATCTTCAAGGTGCTGTCAAGACTAGCCCAGAAAACAAACTGAACCGCTCAGAGGAAAAGGTAAATAAAGACAGACTGATGGACTACATTCCCTTTAAGGACTGCATATTCTGAAATAAGAGCTCGAATGACGGCCTGAAGGCAAGCGATTTTTGTATGTAGTTTTTTGGAAGCGCACACATTTGCTGAAGCAGAATGAACAGACTCTTACACGCATACTAGCTACTCATGTTATGCTGGTCTTTACGGAAGTTCTATGTTGCTCTGAATCTTCTGCAAATATGCGAAACCAATTCAAGTTTAAGACCACAGAGCTGACCACAGAACTTGCTAAGGGTACCCGTGTGGCTGACGATGGGTTTCAGGGGTTCAGTTCTCTAACTCTGAAACTTCTGCCAGACACAAGAACTCAGGATGCAGATAGGTGGAGAAGTGTGAATGAGGGCTGGGCAGGAATGCACAAGGAAAAGAGGAGACAGGAAGACAGGGGATGCCCTCCAGGAAAAGTCCTTCAGCCTGTGTCTTGACGGAGAAAGGTATGCTTTTCCTCACATAAACAGCCTCCCTATGGGGTGTGTGGGGGGGGATGTTTTACAGATGGTGGTTGATGAAGAGGCTTAGTTCAAGGTAAATCGTTTCCCATCCTATTTTGCAGATTAAAAGCAGTCAGTGCCTAGGCAGCAAAGCCTATGAACCGCAACAATGACCGGGGCTCAAGATCTCTCCGAGTGTGTAACAGTGGCACTTATATCTTGGGGCAACCAACAGCTCTCTAACTGGGCTTAAGACCTGCTCACCAGGAGGATATTCTTGCCTGACACTGTAAACCAACCTATCTGTGCCTGATGAGGTCAGGGACCCTAGGAAAGAACCCACTATTACTACTGCTTTCCTAAACCCGTATCCTTCTAACTATATTCTGTATATGTATGCTTACTCCCACAGATGAGTGCCGCTGGCAGTCCTCATCAAAGAAGCTTGCTTGCTTTTTTTTTCTTCTCAGCAGGAGATGGGAGAGTGAGCATTAGAGAAAACTACAACAGGTCAAAATGCAGAGACCAGCAGACTGTGGGGTACCCATCTCCAAGGGATACATGTACATCGCAACCCCTACAAGGAAAGCTCATAGAACACTCCAGTAAAGCAGGCGGTAAGACTCTAACCAGAGCCCCATGGTGTCTGCGGAGAGATGGTACCTTTCCTATGTAAGAGCTGCATACATAAATTCTCAACGACACGGCTACCTAGAGAAGACTTTGTATAATGACAGCGCCAGCTGACACGCTTACGGGTTGAGGGGGAATCTCGTAAAACTGTTAGATGTTAGATGAAAAGCTACATGCAGGCAATTAACGGCTGCTGGGAGAAAGAGAACCAGTTTTATCCAGGCATAAGCTCCCTGATAGGTTATCCAACCCCAAGCGGTCAGCCCTAAACACATGTACATATAGATAGCACTGAATGGGCTTGGCAAGTCCTCTCTCTCTATACATATGTATGTGTGCGTTGTGTAACAGCAACGATTAAAGAAGACAGACGGGGACATGGGAGGAGTCGAGGGAGGGGAAGGGGTGGACATGACGTAAATACAGTACTGATTTAACACAGTACTGAGTAAATACAGTTAAGAAAATTCTCAAAAACTGCAGCTGAAGCATTAAAAATAAAACAGTAAAAAAAAAAAAAAAAGCACCAGTGAACTCTCTCAAGGGCAGAAGTAAACGGATCAGACTCACTCATATACTGGGGTGATAGGTGTGTGTGGGGGGGGGCGGGACAGAGGGGGACCAGGCGCACCGCCAGGTCTAGGAGGAGTTAGGGGAACATACTATTCTCCCCGGGAATGTTGTGCATTGCTTGATTCAGACTCAGTAAGAAATCCTCTTATAAGCAAGATGAGAGAGCTGGCCAGTTTTCCCGGGGTTGCACTGGCAAAGGGCAAGCCAAGTTCTCAAGGGAAGGCCTGGCCCTCCTGTAGTGCTTGCTCACAATGGTGGTAAGCACAGCAACAGAGAGGCCAGATACCAGTTATGTATCATATCAGAAAGAATCTGTAAGACTTCAGTTAAAATGGAAAAGCAAACCAACAAACAAGACGAGTGGCTGGAGAGCAGAGGATGTCCTTGAGTGCTTCTCTGAGTGACCAACGGGGCACGGATACGGAACTGAAAGGACAGAGGTATTCAGATGGCAGCATCCTGGATTTCAGGTTTGTTAATAAGAAGCCCACAGCCACTCCAGACACCCTAGAAGACATGTCTACACTAGTGCCGATGGGATGGCTTTGCAGGTTTTCCCTGCACTTGCTGGGTCACCCTGGCAACCTGAGGTCAATCCCTGGATCCCATGTAAAGGGAGAAGAGAAACCAACTCCTCAGAGCTGTCGTCTGACCTCTCCATGTGGGCCGTGACATAAAGCCCACAAGTGTGCACACTGCACACACAACAATAGTAAATAATAGGAATGTCTATTTGGAAAGGAGCTGGGAACTCACTGGAGACATCTTCACGGGACTGTAAGTCACTCACCAGCGTGGTTAGGACATTCCTAAAATCTATTTATTCTTGAGCTATTACAAAAGCTGAATCCATTTCTTTGTTTGTTTTGTTTTTCAAGACAGGGTTTCTCTGTAGCTTTGGAGTCTGTCCTGGAACTAGCTTTTGTAGACAAGGCTGGCCTCGAACTCACTGAGATTAGCTTGACTCTGAGTCCAGAGTGCTGAGGTTAAAGGCGTGCACAACCACAGCCAGGCTGAATTCATTTTTCATATTAAATCTCTTTTTTAATCCAATATCTTTCGAAAGGAGTGAGGTTTGGCACCTTCCAACTCCTAGAAGTACTCTAAGGTATCACTGCTACTGAGGAGCTCCCACCACAGACAGCTTCTCCTGCCCCTCGGAGAGTTCTTGCTTTTCAATCACTGAGACCAGTGGTCAGGCTGTGCTGTGTTCTGAGTTTCCCATTTCAACAGGGACGCGGAGAAACTGGAACACATCCAGAAGAACAAAACTGCTAGGAAACTATCTGTGCAACTGGTCCTCAAGAAAAGGCGGAAAGGGGAGAAATCTGAAGAGGAGTTTAATAGGACTCAAGCACACGGAGTTCCTTAGAAACAGCATGTGGTGCTGCGAAGCTTTCAGGGCATCCCTCTTCCGAGGACTAAACACAGGGAAGCACACTAAACCGCAGCTGCAGAGTCTTGTCAGAACCAAGGAAAACTTCCCAGGAGCAGTGAGAGCTAGCATGCAGCTTCAACCCCTCGTCGGGTGTGCCAACTTCCACCAAAGAAAACCCATCAGAGGGCTTCACAGACTCCCCAGTGGCACCCTAGTCTTGGTGTTACAAATGGGACGGCAAAGATTGCTACAAACACATCCTCTCCTAAGGACAGCCAGGCTCACTCAGCTCCAGAAGCCAAGAGTGTGTGCTCTAGGAATAAGCAGAAGGCTGGGGAAGGGTTGGGGGGGGGGCTATGACCAAGCCTGGACAGATTCGTAGAAACAGCGGGGCTCTACTATTGGTGAGGTGGCACTTTATACTGTGGTCAGAGGGTAAATGTCCCCCAAAGACTTGGATGTTTAGTGCTTGGTAGACAGCCTAGGGCACTACTGGGAGGTAGTGGCAACCTTAGGAGGTGGATCTTGGAGGCAGTTAGGTCATTGGAAAGTATGCGTCCTTTGAGAGGACCCTGACACCTGGTCCTTTTCTTTGGGGGAAGAAATAGCCTTGCTTCCTCATGTATTCCCGGCTTGTAATGTCTCAGCACAGGCCAAAAGTAACAGAGCCAACTGACCACGGACTACAATCTCCACAAATTGTGAGCCAAAAGAGATTTCCTCTCCCTCTAATTACCTCACGCATTTGTCAAAATGAAGAGCGACCGTAACATCGCAATGAAAAGTGAGCACACAAGTTAGCTATTGAGACCGGGCTACCTGGAATAAATGAGAAGATTCAGACTGTAATTGCCAGAATTCTCTACACCTCATTATTCCTAAAACCTAAACCGAGGCCTGGCAGCAGCACATAAAAGAATCTTAGCTTACTGTTTATAATTCTATTCATCTCTGTCCTTTTGTTATCAGTCACTAGGAGGATTTTTAAGCGCATCTCTCGACACCTGGAAATGACTAGGTGGACTATCAGAGTTTTAACCAACATAAAATTATATATATTATACATACATATTTACCATGTACAACATATTCTTGAAGCATGTGTACATTAACTTAATTAACATAAGCATTGACTCACATCATAACCATTTTTTGAGGTTATTAACACTTTCTCAGCAATAAAGACTGCTTTATTAGTTATAGTTAATGTTATAATTCATCTCTTGAACTTATTCCTTCTATCTATCTGAAATGGTGTATCCTTTGACCAGCACCTTGTAAGTTGAGTTCCCCAGGGAACCTGTGGGACTCTCGGTGAGCTCTCCCCTTTAGATTTACTTTATATGTAAGAAAGGTTATGTGGTATTTACCTTTCTGTACCTGGCTAATTTCATTCATGCACATGTGTTGTTGCAAACATCAACATTCCCTCTGGTTAACAGATGAGCCCTCTGCTATGGACATGAACCACACCTCACCCACTCCTCTGCTGGTAGATCCTTGGGTTATTTCCATTGTTTAGCTATTGTGACTAGTGCTGCAATAAACAAGAGAATGCACAACCCTTTGACACAACTGACTTCATTTCTCTTGGACGGGGATTGCTGGATCTGTTGAGACCTTGCTGGAATTGAGAGAAGACTGGTAGAGACACAGATACTAAGAAATAACAGTCCCCTGACCCAAGATTCTAGCCACCAACAAAAGCTGAGCCGAGAATCTGGTGGGGTACAAAGGAAATTCACATCTGATCCTCTTGTATCATTTGTTCATATATTTTACATGAACATGAAACGATCTAAAAAATCTGGTTTCCAGTAAGACATAAAAAGGGGCTATGTAAAAAAATGCATTATGTACAGAATTTCACCAAACAAAAGTCTCAATTTTCAGGATCAAACAAGTATGCGGCCCTTGTAGTTAATCATTTCATAACATTTAGCTTTACATATGATATCACCATATAGAATAGCCTTCTAAGAATCCTGTCTTCTCAGTGGTTTGAGTGAAATTTGTAACTTTATCCACAAGCCTCTGGGCAAACAACGAACACAGTATCTTTCACCATATCCTGGTGGATGAAAAGTACATCTGTTTTTCACCACCGGACAGATGAGGGGAGGAGAATGCCTCTGCCTGGGATGCTGTCCTGTAGATTTGAGTCCTAGAGCAGGGAAACCAGCCGATCCCTGGGTTTCTTTCACCTCGTGATTTCTGAGCGTTGGCTCTGAGCCCTAGCTGGTTTCACTGACTAGGCAGGAGGTGGAAATGTTCAAATCAATGCTTTGCAAAAATGTTTCTACACATACGCCAGGGTGAAAGCAAAGTTATCTTCTAGCTCCCCAGAGGCGTACCACCCTCTTCTAGTTGGCTACATGGGATAAGGATCCAAGGTTCACCATCTTCCCGGGCGGAGATCCCAGATAACACACACTGGTTCCTCAGTGTGACCATGTCTGAAAGGTGCCCAGCTCTGGTGTGTGTGTGTGGGGGGGGGCACAGATGTGTGCACACCAGTGGTAAATGTCAAAGCTCCTCCTTTATGCCTTTCCACTTCATTTTTCAAGACAAGGTCTCCCACTGACCCCAGAGCTCACCAATGGGCTAGACTGGCTATGTCAATTTCCTGAACAGTAAGGTGACTGAAGTACACAGTGGTGACTGCTGGCTTTGGTGTGGGGGCTCTGAACTGAGATTTCCAAGCAGGTACATTTTGCCTAATGAGACATCTCCTCAACCTGGCCAGCTCTGTGCTAACAGAAAAGCAGACATCTTCAGAAGCCCCGTTCTGGCCTAGCCAGCTTTTAGTGTTACCATGCATCCCCCTCATAAGACTTACTCTTGGCTGGGACATAGAAGAACACAGGATCTGTCCACGACCCATTGCCAGAGAGAGAGGTGGCTTGAATCCGGGCTGTATAGTTCCCCGGGTTTAGCCGGTTAAGCTTGGCCCCTCCATACTTCCTGTACTCCTGTCTGGACACACATTCCCGCTGATCCTACGAAAATAAAACGTAAGTGTTAATTTCCTACAAGCGTGAGGTCTGACACCTGCTAGTTCGTCACCATGGTGGTAGCTCCAGCTGCCCAACATCTGCCTCGCAGTCGTCCAGGTCATTAATACAAAAGAAGAAATGACATCTGTAATGGTAATCTTCAGGTGGCACACGGAAAACTCTATAATCAGTCATGTTTGTAATCGAACAGAACCCCAGAGGAATGAAAAGTTATCAAGATGTGTCTCGTCTGTGGCACAAGGCCTACCTACAACAAAACTGTAGGTGAATTATAGGTGAAGGACAGCCAGCTCCTTGTACTGTGGTCACTGCTCTTCAGTGCCTGGGTTTCTGGGAAGACCCCGATCCTCACATGAAACGATCTAAAAAATCTTTGTGCTGTGACACGCAATAGCATGTGTTCTCAGGGCTGACAGAAACATACGCAGAACAGGCCACAGTCCCCGCCTTACCTCAACTTGCGATCCGTACTTTATTTCATACATTAGGATCAATCCATTAGGGTTCTCGGGTTCTGGCCACTTTAAAAAGATGGAGTTCTCCGGTCTTGGCTCCCAGGTCACTGGTCCAGGAATGTCATCTGCTCCTTCTACATAAGGATTTAAACAAGCAGCCGAATTGGGTTTAGGTCTCCAGAAAGGATGGGCTCACATGAGAGTGACTCTTCCCCCTAACTCGTGTACATGCAGGACTCTGCACGGGGACATCGCAGGGGTCCTCCCAAGATGGCTGCTAGCACAAGGCAGAGGATTAGGGACTGGACATGCTTGATGACCTGCCATCTCAAGATGCCACAGCATCTCCCAGGAAAATCTGTGACTGAGTACGAGAAAACACTCCTGACAGGCTAAGTCACTTTCCCAGGTCCACTTTTTTCCTATCTAAAGAAAAAAAATGAATCCTTCAAACTCAGCATCCATGAAGGAGGGCAGTGAGCTTCAGGGTGCTCCAGTGAGAGGCTCCAGCTATTGCACCCACTCTCTTCAGCCCACCTCCTCACAGCAACTGCCGCTCCCATATGGGAGAAAGGACCAATCACAGGTTGGCCTTGGAGGCAGCTGCTAGGAAGCCTGCGTTCAGAACTAGGAAGCCATCATCCCTTCCAGCTCCTGCTGGCCTTACTTCGGAAACTGAGGCAGTGAACCAAAGCTGTTAAAAGTAACAGCTAAGAAAGGCTCTGGGAGATAAGCTGTTTCTAAGAGGACTGGGAAACTGAGACACAGGAGGCTAAGGGCTGCAGGTGAGTGACAGAGTCAACTTCAGAAAGGTCCTTCTCCCCCAGTTCCCATCATCCTTTGTTCTTCCCAGTGCTTGATGCCTTTTCCAGAAATGAGAAGTAGGAGTTTACCCAGCTTGAAAGACAGGAGAGTGGCCATCTGGGTAACAGGGAATGTCTAACTTACAAGGGAAGAGGGGGCAAAAAGGAGGCCCACAGGCTGTTCTTGTGGATCATGAGGATCAATGATTCCTCTGAATCAAGGTAGCTGCTTTACTTGGGAACCGGAGTGCCCCCATAGGTCTGTGGTGTGCTAAGAAGGCCTCGTATTCTTGGTCTCCAGCCCTGGGCACTACTGACAGAAGGTAGACCCTTGAGGAGATGTGCCTCACTGAAAGGGGTCAGGGCATTAGGGAGCTGCCACTTTCTCTCTCTTCACCATGGCCGCCGTGAGGGGAATAAGTCTCCTTTACCATGCACTGACAGTATGATGTGCGGTTTCACTACAAGCCCAAAAGCAATCAGGCAAGTGCTTCCCAAACACTGAGTCTAGAATAAACCTTTCCTCCTGGCAAGATGATTATCTCAGGTATTTTGTGACAGTGATGGCAAGCTAACTCCCTCAGCTGTGCACAGAAGAGGGCGGGGCCGTGCGAGCACACCACGTGAATCAAGCGTGAGTAGGAGCCCTGAAGGAGGCTTGAAAAGACTTTCTCAAGTGAGTCTGGGATGGGAGCTGGCGCTGGGAACACACCCTCTGTTCCTGAGGCACCTGATGGACAAGGTTGTTTACCAATGACCACACATTCGTAGGGCTGAATCTATGGGCTGTCAGCCTCTCCCACGAGGCTGTTAATGCGGTGGTATACCTGCAGGCATGGTTCTCGCAAAGACGAAGTTGGAGGCACTGCAGCCCAGCTTCTCAGCTTCATGGTTGCAGCTGTGGATATCGATGCGGTACAAAGTGAAAGGCCGGAGGTTGGAGATGACAGTTCTCTCCTTGTTATCCACCCTGCTCTCAAAGAAAGGGTATTCTGTCTCGACTTCTTCCGGGTCTGTGATATTGTAGGTGTCTGCCACCGTGGTGTTCCTGCTTCGGCTAGACATGGTGGTGTTGGCCACTTGCATGACATCTCTCCGCTTCCTTTCGGGTCTGCAAGGAAGAGAAGGCCAGCTAGTAAGTGTATCAGCTTCCTTTTCTTTTCTATGGCCAAGATGGAACAGAAAAAAAAAAATCTTAACCTTGAAATAAACAAAACTCTTCAGGCTCCTTGGATGAGAACCAACAAATAACAAGGGGATTTCCTTCTTCAAGACCCATCTTGCATTCTCTGTGGCACCCTCAGAAACACCCACATTCACACCTACACCCACACAAGTGGTCCTTCGATGTTACTAGGAAACAAGGCATCAGCCATTCTTAGCCAGGCATTGTTCTGTTTCACCCAATCAACAGTGCTACTTGGTCAGCTCTGATGACTGAGTATTAGGATAAACCAAATCGCCTCAGTTAAGACTGATTAGGTGAAAGGTGAAGTAAGACACACGGGGCAGAAGGGACCCAAAGGCCTACAGTAGTAGCTTCCTTGATTGTCTCTGAAATGAAGATGCCCTGGTTTGAGAAGCTAGCAAGTACCTAAAATCCCAGGGATTTTCCTGAAAAACAGGGGTTCCTACTGATTGATGCCCACAGTCCCTAGTATGCATCATGGTCTTGGAAGTCCATCAAGCCTGGCTTTGCTTCTCCTTTAGCAGTGGGTACCTGTGGCCTCCCGATACTTATAACACCAATAAGAACAGAGGAAATAAAAAAATAACACCAGACAAGCACCCCTATGAGGGATACAGAATGGTGGGTGGGAAAGCTGGGTGCTGAAGCTATTCCTACAGTGCTTGGGACTGGGCAAGGGATGAGATCACCAGGTGGGATGCAGTCCACCTGGTAAGAACATTAGGAGTGCAAGAGAATAGGAAGGCCCGGAATATGGAGCTCACGGGTCTCTGTGCAGGAGAGCCCAGCTGAGAGGAGCAGAAGTACACATACAGAGGGAGACACCTTGGAAGCCATGCTCCAGGCCTGTGGATGCTGTCTAAGCCAGCATCTGGAAGGGTAAGGGAGAGAACCAGGGAAAGGGCTGCATGCTCCCCAGTCTGCTCGGCTGATGGATCTGCTACCAAAACCACAGTTCTTTGCTCGGTGCTGACATGGCAGGCCCCAATACAAGTATCTAAACTGCCCGTGCAGGACCTCATCTCAAAACTCAGGAATGGGCATTTGTTTTCCTGATGCTGGAGAAGGAGGAGTGATGTACTAGTCTACCCTGAAAACCAACTTGTCAGCAAACCACCTACCTTCCTGAAAGGAAGAAACACGACCCCTCCCCCCAGCGCAGGGAGACATTCAAAACAGCAGCAATACGTTTCCTGCCTCCCTCCCTTTCAAGACCAACACAACAAAACTGTGCCTACATGTAAAAGGTTGTTTATATTCGATTTACTGAAGAATGATGTTACGTCCACTCCCTGCTTTGTAACTGGGTCACAGGACCAAGCACACCCGGCAGTCTACTCATTTGTAAACACTATACTTCTGCAAACTGCGTAGCAGTTACTGTGGATACAGAGTCAGGACTAGGGAGGGAGGCAACACAGGCACTAGAAGACTGGGGACGACATAAACAGGGTGGCCCAGCTTTGTCAACAGCTACATGTCAACTGGGGTGACTAAGAGCACACTTAATCTTATACCCTTCCTTCCGGAGTCTTTGATGGAGTTGAAGAATAGATAGTTATAATTACAGTTTTCCTTAGTTATGATAAAAGATAAAGTAGGTATAAATGTTGTAACTGTAATTCTTGCTTGATACCTGTTTTGTTATATGTAATTTTACTATGTTAAAGTTAAAACCTTCCCTTTTATTTAAACACAAAAATGGTATGGAAAGTCCTCCTGTATGCTTTTATTGGTTAATAAAGAAATTGCTGATAGGGCAGAATAGAGCTAGGCGGGAGGGGGGGAACTAAACTGAAGATTGGGACAAAGACGGTGGAGTCAGGGAGACGCCATGGAGCCACCAGAGGAAAAAGACAGCAGCCGCCAGCTAGAACCTTGCTGGTAAGCCACAATCACAGCCACATGGTGATACACAGATTAACAGAAACAGGTAAATCAAAGATTTAAGAGCTACCTAGCAATATGCTTAAGTGATTGGCCAAGCAGTGATTTAAATAATATAATTTCTGTGTGATTATTTCATGGTCTGGGCAGCCGGGGACAAACAAGCGCCTTCCCCTACATTGTACCATCAGTTTTCCTCACTTCAAGAAATAACCTATGACCACTGGAGAAGCTTGTCTTTCTTAACATTTGTCAATGTTTTAGTGATATAACTCGAAATATAAAGATAGTGGCCCACAGAAGTCATTTCCCAAAGACCAAGTTCATGAAGTAACATAATACACACTAGCTTCTATTCTACTATAAATGCGCAGGCAGAGTCAGACACTGCAGACGGACTCAATCGGACTTATTTGCCTTTAGCCCCCAAATAAACTGTGCCTAGAATGACATGAAAGAAGGAACAGTCTTTAGATGATTCAGTTGTACCACCACAAGAGACTCCATGACTCATTCCTGTCACCTAGGGTGCTCCTTTACAGGGAGCACCAATGTGCTACAATGTGTATGGATGCCAGATCTTATGCATTGGTAGGAGGCAAAAACCAAAAACAATCAAACCAATCCAAACCAAAAACCCAAATAGCTAGGTGTGGTAACACATATCTACACATTGGGCTTGTCGTAGGACGGAGAAGCCAGGCTGCAAGACAGGGTGACAGCATTTAGCACGCAGGATCTGGCCGAGAGTACAAATACTTCATTCACATCTAGGTCAACCACAGCTCTGCTGCCCCATCTCTTAGCCTGGTGCTCCACACTTGATATCCACAGCAGCAAAAGGGATGCCATCTGAAGACAACTAAACGTTAGGGGCTTTCTGCTATGGTTTGTACTCCCTTGGTTCTTATGTTGTATTGTCGGATGTTTGGTCACCAGGGGGGCAGCAGCACAGAGGAAGGGGCCTATTAGGAGATCCTGATGTGACTGGGTGGTGTTGTGAAGAAGGTTCAATGCTGGTCTAAACGGAAGTTGTCACAAAAAGCAAAACACTAAGCTCTCAACTTCTGCCCAGTTTCCTGTTTGCCTTAAATTCTCTCCATCCAACAAGCACTTCTGCCACGATGCCCTGCGACACAGCCAAGGATGCCTTCATCCGAGCAGAGTGTATGCTGGCTCTGTGTTCTTCTCTGAAACTGTTGAGCTATACACACTACCCAAGCATCAGATAATTTGTCAGCAATGACAAAAGAACCTATAATCCTTCCTCACAACCTGAACCTCTGGCAGGGCCTGACATGTGTAAGGTGAAGAAGTCCTGCATTTGACTGTCACCAGCACAGTGTTGGGAGAGGGGAAGATGTCCTGCCTGGCCTCCTTGGGACACTATACCTGGGAATTCTTGTGGTTACAGGAACTCTTACTAGCTGAGTGCTGGTTTGGGTGGACTGGCCCACACAGACAACCCACTGAAAGGAAAGAGATTTGGTGTTTGAGAATGTAGGTCCCAGACCTAAGACTCAAACTGTCGGTAAATTAATTAGGACAGAGAGGTCACTGCATCCAGTTTTTAAACATGCTTGACTTCTTTCCTGCCTTTTGGCTTTCACATTCAAGGAAACACATGTGATACACAGAGAACACAGGTAAAAAACAGTAGTGTATCCTGACCCACAGAGCTGACTTCAACAGCAGCCCAGCAGCCTTCCAACTAAGAGGAGCTGAGGTCAGTGAGGCAGATGGGAGAATGCACAGCCTGTGAGAGGAGGGGAGGGGAAGAAGGCTGCCAGGAATCCAGGAATTCTAGTCTCAAAAGGACTGGACCCTCGAGAGCTAACAGGTCTTTATTTTTTTACTCTATTGACTCCTCAGAGTGAGATGGCTATCTTTGACGATTTCACAAATATCAAGAAGTCATTTTAAAATCCATTTGCGGATACAATCGAAGAAAGGCACTAAAGACAAAGTAGCAGCAGGATAAACAGCCGCTAAGGGCTTGTGGAACCTCAAGGGGAGGGAACAAGCCCAGAGCACTGTAGGCAGCTGAGGTACTATAGGGACTGCGGTGGGTACCTCACTGGTCTGAACCTAGCCGTCCAAGGTTGTACACAGCCTTTCAGGAGAGCCCAGGGTCATTTCCTTAATCTCCTTCCCATATACCACTGGCTCCTCTGGTCTTTAAAAGATCCTACTGTGTTGTGTTTCCTTCGGCAGCACATATGCTAAAAAAACAAACACAACTACCGTGCTCATCATTCTAACTGTCATAAAGTAAACTGGTAAGTTAAAAAAACAATCTCTAACACAAGTGTTTAACTATTTTAAGTATGCGATTTAATGACATTTGGCTACAGTGAAAATGCGCGACCGGCGTCACTGCTTCCTAAAGATTGCACTGACTTAAACAGAAACTCTACTATTAAAAGTGATCACCTGTTTTCCTCTGTGTCCTGCGCTCACCCCCTAATTTGCCACATGTCTCTTCTATTTCATACACATAAAACCACTCAGCATTTATTCTTTACTGTCTAGCTTTGTTTCATTTTTGATGGAGTTTTCAGGGCTTGTGCATGCTGTATCAGTAGTCAGAATTTCTTTCTGTTTGATAGCTAACTAGTATTCCACTGAATGGGTATGCCACCCTTTGTTAATCTATCCATTTACAGATGAACAACTGAGTTTCTCCTTCTGCTGGTATTGGACTTTTCCTTTCTTCTATTAAAAAAAAAATTAACACATATACTTCTGCCCTCCCTACCCCAGCATGAGGGTAGAGGTCATAAGACAACTTGTAGGGGTCAGCTCCCTCCTTCCACCATACGGTTCTGAGGACTGAACTCAGGGGTTTAGGCTGAGGAGGAGCCGCCTTTACCCACTGAGACATCTTACTGGTCCCCTTTTCTATTTTCAGTTTTACTTTGCAGAAACTGAGGGCAGAACACAGGAGCAGAGGGAATTCTTGGGACAGTGCTCCATTCGACTTAAGAAACCTGGTTAAAATGGACACATAGAGCACACGGCTGTTTTGGAGCTGGGTCCCTTTTAAAACCGACACTGATTCCAGGTCCCGCTGAATCATTCCTCAGCCAGGTTGAGGGAATCCAAGGACAGAGGACGGGAGGGTAGAAATGGGCCCAAACCTCAGCTTTTCCCTTTACTGGCTTCTGCAAGGACAGTCAAGTGATCCAGGCAGTGCTTGGTGATGATGAGGGAGGCGATGCAGCTGAGGTGTAATTCTCACGCACACGCCCCTGCTCCTGCAACATGAGTCCTGGGCCCCTTCCTTCAGGGCTACCCTTTCTAGGAGCTCTGCTCACCACAGGGGCATCATCTTCTGTTGCATGCTCTAAGCTGGCTCCTACATTGCAGTGGGGGAACTGAAGAGATGGGACTCACTGAATAGCACCAAACGCAGCACTTCCAAAGGGGACACTCACCTGGGCACGAAGATGGAGTTGTGAAGGAAATTCTCAAAGACCTTACGGTACTCAGCCTCTTCCTTCTCGGCCTGCTTCTCGGCTTCAGTTTTGGGACAAGCACAGCAAGGCCCTTTATCACCACCACACACTTCTGTCTTGGGGTTCTCGGTCACCTCTTCCACATCGATGGTGCCATCCGCATACTTTCTGATGGGTATTTTGTCTGAGAAAGAACAGAGTGGGGATGAAAGCCAAGCATAGCGCTGTTCAACGGAGCAACAAGCCCGGCACAGGACGGGCTTCTCACACTGGCGCTCGGGTACCCTCAGACACTGCCTGCCCACTGTTGGCCCACCTCACCTTTGGAACAGTAGTTGTGCCGGTACAGATAGCCATCCTGTGGCTGCCGCTGCCACCTCACAATGTAGTAACTCAAGTTACCATTGGGCAGAGTTGGGGGGTTCCACTTCACAATCAGCTGAGAAGAGGAGTTTGATGCGGAAAGTACGTCTAGGGGAATGGAAGGAACTGGAAAAACGAACAAAGGACATTTTAGAAAACATCCCGAGGTCAAGGTTATCAGGGACTCAATGCAAATCAACAGGAAGCTGCAAGTCTGACCTGGCCACCAAGATAGCAAGAGGGCCAGCAGAGCACAGAGTGAACCCGAGCCTTGTTTAGGAAGAGCATTAACTGGAATACCAGCCTTCTCTTCAGAGCATCTGTTCTCAGATAATCTCTGCGCAAACATGCGCGGTTCACAGAGCTGGACTGAAAAAGACTGTAAGCACACAGCCAGGGTTAAAGGGGACTTTAAAAACCTACAATTAATTTGCGCGTGACAAAGGCCACTCTCCAGTGTGTTTTAGCAAATGGCAAACTGGACTCCACAGGACTTTATCTGTGATTGCAAATGTGAATCTCTGACAAAAAATGACAGGGAGACAAAATGAAAATCGGGAACAGGGGCTGGAAAGAGTGTAGGGCAGTGTGTGCGCCTGCACCTGTATGAAAGAAATGGCGGAACAAGGAGCATGGAATCAAAGATCCTGTGGGCAAGCTTCTGTGGGATGGCTAGGCCATGATGCTGGGAAGCCACTACACATGAGCCCTGGTTTTATGCAAAGTCCTCTGTTACCAGGAAGAGTAACAGAGTTCAATAATCTAAGCGAAGCTTACTCACTACCGATGCGCAAACTCAAAACGCAGAATTGATTTGATGTAAAAAGGAAAACACCCAGGATTACTGTCATGTTCTCAGTGGAGTTCCTATGGCAAAATCAATGCTACAGCCAAAGTACTCCCTAGCCCCAACACACACACACACACACACACACACACACACACACACACACACACACACACACGAGATCAAGGTATGTCTCTCAAGCATGAGGTCCAAACAAGCTGTTTTTAAATCTGAAAGGTGAAAACAGGTCGTACTGCCTAGTTCTATGTCAACTTGACACAGTGAGAGGAGGGAAAATAATGGAGAAAATGCCTCAAGAAGATAGTGAGACAAGAGCTACAGGCATGCCCGTAGGGTATTTTCTTAATTAGTGATTGATGTGGGAGGGTCCAGCCCACTGTGGGTGGCGCCAACCCTGGGCTGGGGGTCCTGGGCCCTATAAGAAAATGGCCTGAACAACCAGGGGGAGCAAGTCAGTAAGTCAGCAGCACTTCCCCCCGGTTCTTGCCTCTGCACAAGTTCCTGCCGTGGCTTTTCTTAATGACCGACTGTGATCCAGATATGTAAGTCAAACCCTTTCCTTGCCAGGTCGTTTCTGGTCGTATGCCACATCAACAGAAAGCCTAACGCATGTCTGAAACGCCAAAGACCCTGAGAACTGCTGAGGGGCAGCACGTTGGGATGGCAGGACTAATACTAACTTTTGCGAAGAAAATATAACCCTTGTGTTGCCTGCTCCCTTAAGGGTTCCCAAAAGTATTCCCCAAACAGTTTATTACTAGATAGTTCAATGACAGGTTTCCCAGATGAAGCAGAGGCAAAGGATGGATCGTGTGTGTCACACGGGTCCTGAGCACTTGTGAGGACAGGCACCAAAATGCAGTTTTTAATATTTAGGAAGAAGAATCAGATTTCTTAAGAATCTGTTGTAAGAAGAAATTATTCTCTCCCCTCCTCCCCAAATCTGCTTTAATGATTCTCTGGGAACTGTTACTCCCAAATTTTAAGATAAAAAATGAATGTATTCTGTTGCACTTGAAAATCCACAAAAATCAACCCATTTCCAGGACCAGGAGCCTGTGGAAAATTCACTTCTATGCAGACTGCAGGGCCAGCAACCTGACTGTGACGGCTCTAGGGTCACCAAAGTGGGGAGGGGTTGGAGAAATAAGGTCATGTGAGCTCTAGGTTATTTTTAAAATTTTCTCACTCTGCCATTTTATGCTTACTTTGTGCTGGTCTGGGGCACTTTAGCATACTTTACTCACTGTACAGAATCTGTTCTCAGAGAATGTGTACCCGTGCTGCAGACCGTGTACGCTCCTCACCCCACAAATCACTGTGTGGAAACCCTAGCCTGCAAGTGTTGGGGCTTTGCAAAGCGATTAGGTCATGAGGGTGGAGTTTTAATCAACAGAATTAACACTAACAAAAAGAAGGTCAGAGACTCCCATGTGCACTCTTTCGGGCATGTGAGGACACATCAAACAGATCCCTATGAGCCAAGAAGTCGGCTCACACCAGATGCGAAATGCCAACTCTTTGATTTTGGGCTTCCCAACCTCTGGAATGGTGAGAAGTATGTTTCTTTGCTTTGTAAGCCAACTCAGTTTTTGAGATTTTTCTTGTAATCGCCTAAATGTATTAAGACAGTCATTATCTTTACAATGAAATATGTCTTTCTACCTCTAGTGTTTGCATACAAATTCACACAAGTGTTTACTATTTCTAGGTTTGGAGTTGGGGAGCTAGCATTTAAGCATATGAAGAGAAGATAAGGAGGAATCAGTCAGTAGTCCCTACTTGGCTATCACAATGCTCTAAGCCTATTAGTTTTGTAGGCTTTATATTTGCCTGCTGAAAATGCTGATGGCTACTGAATAAAGACAGACAATCAGTAAGTCACTAGAGGCAGGTGGTGCACGGGTCAGCATCATTTTAGGTCCTAGAAGTCTGCATTAAAACAGATGAAAACAGATATAGGTAGCTACATCCTGGGCGTTCAGAAAGAAACCATCTTACAACCTTGGAGGATACGGGTTCATTAGCATAGAGCAGAGAGATAGATGCTTAAGATGGTACCAAGTCCAGAAAATGGCCCAGGAGAATTTAAGGTGTTAGCAGCGAAAAGACTATTGTAATACAGTGTTAAGCAATAACAAGCATCTCATTGCTGGCCCTAGAGCCACATTGTGCCTGTTTAACTATAGCAAGCTTATAAAAAGTCAGGGAACGGGGGGGGGGGGGGGGGGCGGCTTATCTAGTGCCTGGATACCTGATGCATTGGTGCGAATGTACAAGATTTCACTTTTGGCCCCACGGATATGGTCGTTTTCCACCATGGTGAGGGTCACAGCCTTGACATAAACAGCATACTGGGTCCAGGGCTTCAGCCCATGCAGTAAAATGCCAGGCTCCCCCTCCTTGTTGGGAGGCAGGTCCACATCCACCATGTTCCAGCTGTTGGAGCCACAGGCATCCTGTCCATCGTATTCTGTAACGTTTTTAAAGGGTCTGAAAGACAATCAATGGAGACGAGAGAACGTTGAAGGGCTCTGTCACCACAGCTCTCAAGAAACCTCCCCAGGGGCTGAGCTTGTCACACTGCCTATAATGGGAGCTCCAAATAAAACTCATCAACAATTAGATGCCTATACAAGAATAAAATCAAGCATCTGGACTCGGGGGCTCACCAGCTATGAACCACAGAACTGAACAAGCAGCCTCAGAGACAGCCAGTTCTATATTCGCAGGGACTGAAAATGTTGCTCCTAAGACATGCAGATGCTGACTTTCTTCTGAATTAGAGCACTTTTTTTTTTAAATAAGAAAAAAAAAACCCACTGCTGTTTAAGGCAAACATTGGATACAGATAAAGGATAACTTTTGAACAAAAACTTTCTTACCCCCCCAAAAAAAGTTTCTAAAATATAAGTTGATAATAGCTGGCTTTGATGCTTAAATATCTCCTAATACTCAAATATTTCACTTCCCGATTGTCTCAGAAAGCGGCATTAGTGAAATCACCAGGTAACTTTGGCAGTGTATTGGCAGCACTTTCAAAGAGAAGAGGGTTTTGCACAGATGCATGGTGGGTGGGTGGGGCTTTATGAGATGCAACGGCTGCTGGCCACTGGCTTCTGAAATTATATTAACAGACCTGTGAACAACCACAGCGGGAGATGGGGGAGCACCATTCCTATTTCCCACGGGCTATAACAGTTCCCAGGACCCTAGTTCAAGCAGCAGGGAAGGTACCAGCCGCTGCCATGGGCACCTTTGCCCCTGGGAAAACGGATGACCGTGTAGACTGGGGAAACCACCTGGACACAGGAGGCCAAGTGGGGTGATGGAATGCCTCCAAGAGTTGCAACGTGGAGCAAGTCATGACTGCAGAGGCAGGACGATGCCATCAGTCCTGGGGAAGGCTTGGAAGACCCTGGAAACGGTTGACACTGAATGGTCCCTCTCCAGTCTTCTTTAATGCTAGAGGGCTCGTGACCCAGGGCAGGGTCTGGGCAAGGCCTTGCACACATAGAGTGAATGGAAGATACTGGATCAGTGAGAGCACAGCGTCTCCTATGGCGTATTTCAGGGACAGAGGCTAAAGCGGTATTTTAACCAAGCCCACATTATAGCTTAATTCAGTCCTTTTTCCTTTGGGTTGAACTTGATCAAACACCAATACCTTATAAACAAAGAAAGGCCTGAAGGTAATACTACTCTCCTGACTAGCTGTCACAGGTTGGGACAGTGTCATGTGACAAACAGAGAGGCTACGTGAGGAAGAAATGGTCTCCTGGCCTGATTCTTCAAAGGAAATCCACTGGTTCCCTATTCAGCCAACCCATACAACAACCATCTTCACCCTCCAGCTCCACGCCAGAACGACAGGCACAAACACAGAAACTCACGCCTCCTTGTAGTAAACTGTGAAGCTGATGAGATCCCTGTAGTCTGGGGGCCGGTACCGGTGCCAGGTTATGATGATGCGGTTCTTTGAGGTGGTGGTAGATGTGAAACGGAGAACGTCACTTTCACCTGGCGCATAAAGGCACATCCGTGAGGGACAGAGATCCACGCATCTCTACAAAAGCTGTGCACTACCTTTCCTCTCTCCTGAAGCTAGCCGTCCACTCTAAGCTCTGGCTGCATTTTGTAGGAAGTTTTCTTATTTCCCATCAAGGGTCCAAGTGTTTCACTGGGGAGTTCCTATAGGCTCCTCTTTCACTGCACTGGCCACCTGCCCAGGGAATGGGGCATGAACCTGTAACGGTCCTTAGTGAAAGGTGGCTTTACCTTTGAGATCATCAATAGATGCTGGCTGCTAAAGGGGATCTAGTTAAATGACAGCAAATCTGTAGGCTGGCCTGAGAGGACACAAGTGTTCTGCATGTGTGGACATCTGCTGGCTTCTGTAAAGCCACAAAAGCAGCGTATCTTAATCTGAACTAGTAGGCTAGAAGACCTTCTTGGAGTGCCCTAGCAGCAACGAAACTAGGCCGGCAATGTCTTGGGCAAGCCTTGTGATCTGTGGGAGGTGCACCCTCGCTGTGAGATACCAGGCACTAAGCCTGTCCTGACTTCAGCACTCTTATTCCAACTGCAAAGGCTGGAACTGATGGTCAACATTTTGCGGGACACTCAAAGCTCTCCACCCAGCTGCCCTCGGGCCCCCAAACTGCCTGCCATTAACTGTCACACTAATGAGCTAAAGGCAAGAGACTCGGAACAACTGAACACTGAGAAGTCTTCCGAGCAAAATGTGCTCCATGGAAATCCAGAGAGCACTACAGGTCCTGCTCAAGTGTCACGCGAAGAGAAAAAACCCTGACTGTTTTCAAAGGAAAATAAATGGCTGCTGAATCCATGTCAGGCTGGCTGCCTAAGGGAGATGCATTTGGAGATGCTCTGGTCCTAGACTTCTACTATGGTCTTAATGGGGAACAGGGCAGGGGCTCTGCAGGAAGGTGAAGGTGTTGGCTTTGTACACACTTCCCACCTTGACAACTCTTCCCTACATGCCTCCCGGGTCCTAAGGGCATCAGACAAACCTGGATACAGCAGACAAAGCTAGCCCCTCCTCTGTGTGTATGTGTACATTTGGTCATATGACTCCTTTATTTTCCCACTAATGCCCCAACGTCAAAGATGGAGAGTCAAAGAAAGCTTTAGCGTTTTTTTCCTTTTAAAGACTGGGTCTTACAGCCTATGTCCCCTGCATATATGTTATGGTTGTGTAGCGGAATTCCTCTGGGACTTCTAACAGTGGGAGTGGGGGCTGACTCTTTTGTCTGCTTTTGGGACCCTTTTCCTCCTACTGGGTTACCTCACCCAGCCTTAACGAGGGGATGTGCATAGTTTTATTATAACTTGATATGCCATTGTTGGTTGATATCCCAGGGAAATGCGGAGGAATGGATCTGGAGGAGAGAGGGTGTGGGGAGAAGGACGGGGGTGGGGAGCAACTGCAGTCACAATGCAATGTATGAGAGAAGAATAAATTTATAAAAAAGTCAAATAACAAAACGAAACAGGGTCTTACTATGCAGTTCAAGCTGGCTTCAAACTTGCAATCCTCCTGCCTCAGCCTATTAAGACCTGAGATTATAGGAGTGTACCATCATGCCTGGCAGAGCCATGGCATTTGTAAGGGCAGTTTTCCATACAAGGCTAGAGGAGAAAGTCTGACATTTCAGGCCTGGGACCACACTTGGAGAGTGGCTGGGCTAATAGGCTGAACTCTAACCTACGATCTTAAGATGAAAACCGTATCATGAGAACGTTATTATTACATTATCCAAAATGTGAAAAGCACTAGGGACTCAAGGATGCGGGTTCACTTCTCTTCAAAGCGGAGGCCAAGTGTGAAGACCAGGAAACCTGACGCCCACAGAAGGGTGCTGCAGTGGAGCTTCCACCCTGAGCCTTCAGCACCACGGGAGAGAGAGGCAGAGCTGGCCTGTTCACAGTGCTGGAGTGGACTGGCTCTTTGACAGACACCGTTTGCTCATATTGAAAAGATATTTAACTGTGCATGCTCTAAGAACCTACTGGAATGTTTATTACACTCAGAAGGAGGCTTAGGAAAATGTATCAGTATGAATGTATCAGGCACCATACATGAGAAGACATACGCGGAGGCCCGGTACTGGCTAAGGTGAGGCTTGACTGACAGCCCAAGGTGAACCAAAGGAAGGCCCGCCCATGAAAGCCACAGACTGTTATCTTGACTGTGGTAGCCACCGTAGTTTGGATGCTTTCACTCACAGGAAGCTCGCTCTCCGTTGTTCCTGGTGTTTATGTCCCCTTTGCTCTGGCGGCCCTTTGTTCCTGTGACTTCCTCCATGCGGTAGATTTCAGAGACACACAGCTTGGGATTGAAAGCAAAGTACATCTTCCCCGACCTGACGGTCAGGTTCCGGTGGTTCCAGTCCCACAGCTGCTGCAAGTTCTGGTTGTCCAGGACATAGAAGGAGTAGTTCCTGGAATCACAGAGATCCGCATTAGCAACCGACTGTGCCTACGGCCCCCTCCAGCAACACAGAACCTCTCTGTGGCCATGTGTGGCTCCACACCAATCAGGGGCTTACCTCCTGGGGTTCTGTAAAAGCAGACAGTCACTGTGAACACGGGCAAAAAGATGAGCCAAGGACAGTGTTTTGAAATCGATAGGACGCTAATTAACTTTGCGACCTCTATTGCCAACACACAAAGTTTCTCCCCGCCAAAGGATGTTCCACGAATCATTCCCTAGAAATGCCTTTGGTTATTTTTTTTCTCAGAGCCAGATATGTACAATGTGCTTGAAATCAGCCTCCAGGAGGGCAGACATGCTCTGCTACTCAACCGGAACAGCTTACATACTAGCGGCAAAGACTGCCATTATCCCCGGGAATAAATCCTACCCGTGCCCAATCAGCGGTGCATGATGGGACGGGAGACAGCCTGGCTGCTCCCTCTTCCACGCTTCCCTCTCACTACAAGAAGCCTTCATTTCGGTCTCCGGAAAGTATGGGAGGACAAATTCCCACTAAGTGTTTTCTCTGGGTTCTCCCAGCAGGGTAGCAGGGCACAGGGTCCAACAGTGGCTCTGCACGTTTGGCATGCACAGTTTGTTTTCATCATCCCCCTACCCTGAAGGTTCTGATACACAGGACCAGAGTGGATCAGGTTTCTGGATTCCGAATGGTTGATGTTGATAACACCAGTCCTGGCGCCATGCTTAAAAAACCTGGAGTCTACCGGGATTGGCATGGCACTATTCCCATGGCCCACTTTCCACTAGACTAGAGGGCATGGCCAAAGGGGAGGCAGTTACCTTTGGCCATCCTCCTATCTCATCTAGGGGAGGGCAGAGAGCAAGAACTCTGCTGGTGTGTCCACAGAAGGGCTCTGCAGCAGGTCTGTCTCTCTGCCCCCACCTCGACTGCGGGCAGTGTGTTAGTAATAGTTCTCAGGTAAGTGAGAGGTCTGATCCTCATGAACCATGCATCCTTTCTTTCCTGCAGCTTTCCCATCCTTAGTCCCCTCCGTCCCAGATCCAATGAACAAATGTACAGACGGGAAAGCTTGCCCTGCCGAGCCAGAAGTAGCCAAGACAAAGGAGAGTCCCTAAGTCCTGCTCTGCCCCAAAGGCGGTGCCCAAGATATCTCTCTGTACCTGCGGAGGGTCCTCATCCAAATCTGAACTACTAACTAGGGGGTCCACCTGCAACCTGACCTTCAAATAACAAGGCAAGAGTTCCACACAGCTGCAATGCTTGCCAAGCAGCCCTGGACACTTCCTATAGAAATTTGCTGGGAGCGCAGAGGCAAGGACTCAGGACCAGAAAAGCTATGACTTCAACGCAACATAAGCCGCAGGCAGGTAGGTGCCTTAGTGCATGAAGAGCACTGTTTATGTGCTGGAGTGTAACAGGTGAAGTCTGGGTTCTCACTGGCTTTAAGAGTCCTTAGGAAGGCCAGGGGGATGGCTACACAGGCGAAGGCTTCCAAGCACAAGTCAGGTGACCCAGACTCCTGTGAAGGAAGAAAACTGACTCCACAAGGTCATCCTCTGACCTCTGTACATACACCTCTCTTACATACATCATGTGTGCATATAACCAATAACAAAATAAAGTTGTATTTCAAGAGTCTGCCTACCTAGGAGTTGGAGCGCAAGTGAAATCTGCCCAGCCAAACCTCAAGGACCCCAACACATGTACATGCAGGGGCTCAGGGAACCAGCAACTCTTTCCTTTGGTAAGAGTGTTTCCCTGCCATGGAATCTGAGACACGGATCAAGGGAATCCAGATTGTAATACACAACAAGGCTGTATGTCCTAGAGAAGTCCTGGGACCCCCAGTCAGTCAGAACTGTCAACCACAGAGCCGTCAACCTTCACTCTTATTGATGGGGGGGGTGGTCAGGACAGTCAGACAACTGAAGGATAGATGTGATGATGCAAAGAACTGGTCCCATCATGAGTCCTTCCTGACCCATGAGATATTTTTAGGCTTTGGGCTCATCTCTTAACCTCAATGGTCTGGCTGTTCCCAGGTCTCAAGAGTCCCAGGAGACAAAAAAGAAAATCTTGTGAAGACACCTCCAGGCCGGATGCGTGGGCCAATTAATCAGGTCAAACCTCCATCTCAATCTAGGCCAAGGCCTCTTAGTAAACTAATTTCCCTAGCAGGAAACAGAGCCGCACCAAAAATACCTTCCTTCCGAACAAAACATTCTTCTCCCCAGGGAGGAAGCATGAACGAGAAAGCAGGAATTTGACAAATGAATGGCAGGCACATGGAAATTCAGGGTATCTGACTAATCACTTTGAAAAGCGAGATTATCTTTCTACAGTAAACACAAACTTTTTTTTTTTTCTTTAAACAATGCTGAGAAGGCTGGGAGCTAGAATACCAATATCAATAAAACCCAAGCATCGTGGAGTCTGCAGACGGTAAAAAAAAAAAAAAAAAAAAAAAAAGAACCTTCACCAAAATAATAATCTAAGTGCTTGGGAGTGCCCTGTCAAAGTCGGTGTTTGCTTTCCAGCCCCCGCTTCCCTGGCATCCTTCTACAATCAGGTGCAAATGAAGAGATGATCCCAGGCGGAGATCTGTCTGCGCACTTTCCAAACACTAATGTGCTTGAAATGTCATTGTTTTCTAAAGGAAATGACTAGTTAAGGAAACCACTCAGCAAACGTGATTTCATAAATTGTTCCTAAGCTCTCTGCCTCTTTACATTCACAAAACAGTTTTAAAATCTGAATCTTTTTTTTTTTTTTTTGGGCTCCTACGGGTTGTGTGATGCCCTGGGGTTTTATTGAGATTGATACCTCAGCTCTTAGTTTTTTCAGTGTTAGAAAAAAAAAATTTCCCCTCTACCTGGATGCGTTTCACCACCAATGTGTAGATCTACCGGGGCAGCTGGTCACCTCTACGAGGGACTGTCACATTATAACCATACAGCACACACTTCGCTATGACCTGTGGCCACCATTTCTAGGCCAGCACCACCACTTCCTGTTTGAATGCTGCAAAGGGAGTAACACCTGAAAGACTGTGGGGAGAGGGTATAGAGTATTCCATGCAGGAACTGAAACCAGCCCTGAGCATCCTCTCCACTGCTTACGAAGTGCCAACTCTGGGTGGTTTACTTGGCTTCTCAAGGGCTGCAGTTTCTCTGCTGCCCATGGGAGGTGTGTTCTGGTCTCTTCTGGCCCTGAGGCCAATGGGAAGAATCGGATGAGCTAAATATAAAAGGATGCTGTGAGCTTTGAATCGCCTCACAAAGGTAGAGGATGACCTTGCTAAAGTGTCAAAGTCCCAGAAAACATGCAAGTCCTGCACTTTGATACATAGGGCTGAGCCTGGGGTCTCCAGTCAACACAGGACCCTCTCTTTCAAGCCCTCAGTGACATACTGGGAGAAAACCTACAGACACACATACAGCCAGTAACTCCTGTTCATTTCCACAAGGAGACACGACTGCTGTCTGTTGACAGCAGTCTCTAGAGGGCATTAGAAGCCAGCACACCCAAGCTGTCACCGGCATAGCCATTTCTACCATCACTCAACCCATCTGTAGAGTACTGGTTCACTTCAAGACCAAAGTTACACCATCTACATGGGTTCAACGAGTATGGAAATAAGGACACCCAAGTAGAACCAAACCAAGTACCACACAGGTCTACAGAAAAGGCTGTTTGTTGTGTAGTGCTTTTTAAAAAACAGCTCTGCTGAAGTACAGTTTACCTTATAAAATTGTAACCATTATAAATTATATGTATATATTATGTATATATATATACCCACTATAAGTTATATACATTATAAATATACAGCTACATGGGCTTCAGTAAATTTATACAAATGTCTAACCATCATCCCATCATCCAGATTCAGAATATTTGCATCAGGTCAAAGTGCCCCCAATCTGTTCCCAAACCAAGCACCTCCCCAGTCTGTTCATCCACGGTACTACATGTCCCATCATGACCCAATCCTTTTGGTGTTGAGTAGTATCTTTCTGTGTATACTGTGCTTCTCCACTCATTCACTGACGAACCCTTGGATTTGATTCAGCGGGCTATTTTGGGTAGCTATTATGAAAAATGCTGCTATGAGCATTTACACACAACATTTGCATGTGCACGTTTTCAGTCTCTAGGTAGAGCCTAGAACTGCCAGGTCACATGACTAATTTTATATATTTTAAAAGTCCCAAGCGTGTGCTAAAATGACACTATGTTAGGGCCTGTGGTGGTTTGAAAGAAAATGGACCCCCCAGATGACACTATTGGGAGGTGTGGCCCTGCTGGAGGAAGTGTGTCACTGTGAGGGCAGGCTTTGAGGTCTCTTTTCTCAAGTTTTACTCAGTGTGACAGTCGGCTGACTTCCTGTGGCCTGCAAGGTGTAAGAACTGTCAGCTCCAGCACCATGTTCGCCTGCACGCTGTCATGCTCCCCATCATGATCATAACGGACTGAACCTCTGAAACGGTGAGTGAGCCATCCCAATTCAATGTTTTCTTCCTAAGCCTTGCTGTGGTCATGGTGTCTCTTCACAGCAGGGTCTAGTCCCCGAGTTGCAAGAAGGCATTGTGAAAAACCGAGTCTCCAAAGTCAAATGGAACAGAGTAGAGATGCCTAAACATATGAAGACCTCTTCTCACTAGCCACCTTCCTGAAATTTTTGTTCTTTTCAACACAACAATTCTTGGCAGCATCAAAGAACTTGAACTTTTTTAACTTGATTGCCTCCAAACCAAGGTTGTCTGAAGTAGAGCATTTTCCAGATAATGAAAACATTTTCTCTTTTATTCAAGAGAAAAACACCAAATTCCTCACCCAGTGGGGGGGGGGGAACAACAACAAAAACAACCAACCAACAAAAATGACAGAAACATGACTTTCCTTCTTCATTCCCTCCCACTATCCCCAAGCTCTGGTAGTGATCAGGCATTCCTGCACTACAGATCAAGAACTCTATCAATGCACCGCACCACCACTTCTGAGGAATCCCCTGCTCTCTTTGGGGTGTATGTATGTGTGCCTCATATGCAGATATGCATCCTCTTGTTACTCTCCACCTCTCACTGAGCCCAAAGCTCATCGTTGAGGTTAGGCAGGCCAGCTTACTAGCAAATTCCTGGTTTCTGTCTGGTTTAGCTCACCACGTGAAGCTACATGCGTATACAGCTATACCCAACTACCTGGGGGATTAGGATTCAAACGCGGGCATCACGCTTGCCCAACAAGCGCTCTTAGCCACTGAGCCATCTCTCTGACTCCCGTGACAGTCTTATTAACTAAAGTTGGCATTAGAGATGTGAGACATTACAGAGTGAGTGATGGTTGAGGCCTAAAACCAAAGGGTCCTGCTGCTACCTGGGTACCGTTCTCTGGCTGCCCATTCCGATCTGTGTTCAGGTAGAATTCTGCTTCACCTGTCACCAGCCCGGAAATCAGCTTACAGAAATGACTCATCATGAACATACATGACCCAGGTTAAGAAGGCTCAGAAAGAAAACCCAGGAACTACTCTCCAGATAAACTACTGTGTTCCATGGGGGCTGCTCAGAACACTGTGTAAGAGAGACTGCGGTGTTTCCTCACACAGCTGAGGTTGAAGGATACCTCACGGGCAATGTTCACCTTTCCATCAAAACAAAAGGCTTCAGAATCATTCTGAACTAAATGGAAGCATTTATTTTGTTCTCACTAGCCGTATGAGAGGGCTCAACAAATAGGTTCCTTCAATAATGAGTTGAAGCAAGGATGCTTAAAAAAAAATCACAGGTGGCCTGGGGATGGATGGATGGATGGATGGATGGATGGATGGATGGATGGATGGATGGATATGGATGTGTAAATGGGCAGAGAGCAATGAGTGAGGGGTGGATGGAAAGAGCNATATTAGAATAATTATAGGGATAAAGTCATCATTTCTAGTCCTTGCCATGTATGTGCCAAAAGTATACAGAAATACTTTAAAAAAGTACTCAAGCTTAAACCTGCAACTCTCCCTATCCCAGGTTTACTGACTGATTTGGCGTGAGGCACAGCTGGACTTCCCTTCCCCTACAACTGTAACGCATCACACGTTCTGGGAATCACTGGGGAGAAGGTTACCTTGGCTTACAAGGAAAGCACCCTGAAACTAAATGTCAGACATCTCTAACCCTCCTCTCTCCAAAGCCAAGCGTGTCCCACGGCTTACCTAAATGACACCTCCACACCTGTGTGCAGCATCTCCACCTGCAATCCTACCGCCGCCCACCGCCCCAGCGCTGTTTGGAAGACAGGCCCAAACAGCGCCTCTTCCCAACTGTCTGTCTTTGCCCCCATATGCTCCTCCAGTTCCAGAGGGCGGGCAGTCTTCGCTGTCAGCTCTCCTCAGGAGTCTGTTTGACCCTCGCCCACCAGATTCACATCCAGGGCACCTTCTTTTCTTTGCCCTGAGATTCTTTGAAAGTTGTGCTTTGCACCGGCTGTTGGTCTGCTATCACAGCCCATTCTTTCCTTTACTGAATGAGGGAGAAGTAAAGGGGCTGAGACCAACCCAGCCAAGGAGAGAAAACAGGTGGCCTCTCAAACAAACAGCCTGGGAGTTCATCACAGCTGAAGAAAAGGCAGACCGGAGAAAGCTACTGCTAAAGACTATTAAGAATCTCAAGGGTCCTAGACAGACACAGCCTCTAGGCAGCAGCCTCCAGGCCTCCCCTGTCCTCCCTGACTTTCTAAAACGCTGCCAGCAGGGCGGGGCCCTAAGCTTTCCAGAGAAGCTTCCCAAACACAAGCATCCTTACCAAGACTTGGCCGGTACCTCACATTTAAGTTTCAAATAATGAAAGACACGCTACTACAAATATTCTTGGAAATAAAAGCCGGCCTTCAACTTTCTGCTACATCTAAGTGCATGATACTTTCAGTTAACTCATAACGATAAGATAACCACATAATAATCCTTATAAAAATAAAGCCTCCTCTCCTCTATGACTATCACTTGCTCAGGCTGAGGAAAAGGGGGGAAGCGTATATCCTTAAGAAACTAGCAAATGTGACAGCTACTCATCTGCCAAAGAAGAAGTGCTTACCGATGCCAGCGATTCCAGAACACAGAGCTACTGGTGCAAATAATGAAAAAGACCGAATTCCAGGTCATTCTAAAATTGCACATGACCAATAATGAACTGATGGTGATCAGGAACCAACAGCCCAGCGATGACTGGGACGCTCTGGGCTGGGTGCCTGGCACCTGCCTCGGATTGGTGAGGAAGAGATGCTTTTCTGAAGTTTCCCTGTTCCCAGTGGAAAGACAGTGCGCCTTTCAAGGACAGGGAGAGCTGCTCACTGTCTGGCCGTGTCAGGAGAAAGAATTGAGGACAGAGCTGGTCTGAGAAAAACTGCAGGCTACAAAGACAGCCTCCGGCTACAACCTGATCCAGACACACGAGCAAGGACAAGCATTCCCAGGATGCTCCCATCACTTTCTTGTTTATTCCTTAATTGATACAGTTATAAAATGTCAAAGCATTAACCTAAGAGCCACACCAGAGTCGTATTACATGTCCAGAGGAGCCAGCGAAGGTGCACACAGGCTGGGGAGAAGCTGTGAACACACGCAGGAAACAGCAGCTTCTATTCTCTGCCAAGAAACCATGGTTGCTTTAGAACCCAGCTCGAAAAGCGTTTTTGTGCAGAAGGCAAAGTTTCTATCAATAATACAAACCCTGCAAGCTAGTCAATAAACAGATGCTGTAAACTAACCAACACACAAACTCTGTAGGTTGAAATATCTTTGTAACAAAATAAACTGTCTATACTTGGCAAGTCATTATGCTTCTCTGAGAAGGAGACGGCCCAGATGGTCAGGTGGTCAAGCGCTTGCAGCACAAGCAGGAGGACCCGAGTTCTGTCCTCAGAATCCACCTAACATACCAGGCATGTCAGCTCCTGGGAGGTGGAGCCAGGCGGTTTCTGAGGTTCATTGGTCAGAGAGTCTAGCCAAACTGGTGAGCTCCTGGCTCAGTGAGAGACAGTCTCAAAGAGAGGATGAAGAATGACTGAGAAAGACACCCTATGTCTCTCTGAATCCCCACAGGTATGTGCGTCTGTGTGCGTACACATGTACACACACACTCATTTACACACACACACACACACACACCATTAAAATGTAAAAGGAGAAAAAAGCACACCCACTCGTAAAAGGAGAATATAGAATGGTTACCCTTCCAGCTGCTCCTCTCCTAAGATTAGGCGAAGGTTCTTCAGGAAGGACAAGGAGACCAAAGCGTGGGAATGGCGGATCTTCACGTAGCCGGTCACCACCTCGATGAGGCCCATGAAGTTCTCCAGTTCTGAGGCAATGTTATCTAAAGGAAGAGGAGTCTGTGTCACTGACAGTTCCTCTGGTCAGCTGGCGTATTATAGTTGGATTCAAACACAGCGGTGTGGAGGAAGCGCAAAGCAGGTCTTGTTTGGGGGATCTGGGTGAGAAAGCTGGCGTAGGACCAACGATCCCTGTCAAACACACACAGTCTCCACTTTCCACAGTCACGCTGGGACGAGGCCTCTGAGGCGGGAAAGCAGATTTCTAGAAGGGTGGATATTGCAGCTGCCAAGCTGATTAACAGAACGTGAAATCAGAAATGCCAGGCTGCTAATTAGCCCCAGCTGACAAACGGAGGGACCGTCTTTTAAATGTGCTCCGTGACAGGCAGCCCTGCTCCAACAGTGCCACGGCAGGACTGGGCAAACCTTTCCCAGTCTCGGTGGGAACAGTCTTCGCTGTACCTGGAGTTCCTAAGATTTGGGGATCTACAGTTAAAGACTCCATCCAAGGAGGGAAGAAAGCAACTCCGATATTACAGCAATGATGGCTGCAGGGAGCTGTTTCTTTCTTCTTTTTCCAGCACTGAGACAGGATTTCTTGTATCCTAGGCTGCCCTTGAACTATGTCTCTGAAGATGACCTTGCACTCCTGACCACCTTGTCTCCCCTACTTGGGCGCCACCTATACCTGGCCTGCAAGTAGTTTTTTTTTTTAAATCATTTCTGTATCTCTAAGTTTTCTACTCTGCTCACAATTACTTCTGTAACCAGAAAATAGGCAGCGAAAGTTACTATTACAACGGGACCCAGAAACAGTGAATTTTCTTTTATCTTGCTTACCCACCTTTCACATAGTAAATAAGAAACATAAGCTTCAGTTCAGCTCATGACAAAAATCTAAGACGATAATAAATTAGTAATTTATTATCCCACTGAATGGGATTTTACTGTATGTGGTTTGTGAAGGATGATTTAGTCAAAGATTCTACTTCACTAGAAACAAAATTATTTCACTAAAGATACAAATAAAAGAGTAGAGGAAAAAGCCTTACCCTCAATGGCAAGGGATGCTCAACCTGGAAAGAGTGGCTGCAGCTAATTCTGTGTGCTCTGTTCCCTCACAATTGACCTAGGACCTCAGCATGCCCGCAAGGCAAGCGCTCTGGTTAACGTGGGAACTCCACTATGTAGACCAGGTTGACCTCGAACTCCCAGAGATCCATCCGCTTCTGCCTCCTTAGTGCTGGGATTAAAGGTGTGTACCACCACTGCCCACCTGGCAGGTAATACTTCTTCATGGACTGAACTTACCAATCACATTTATCACCCAGAACAGGACAGGAGGATATAAAACAATAGGGCTCATGCATTTTAAAAGTCATATATCCCAGGGATGAATAAATTTTAAAAAATCAGTAAATCTAGTATGAGCAAGAAGAACACAACATGGTTAGTGCTATCATAAGGGTCATAGTTCTTGTGTGGGGAACACGGTCCTCTGCAAAGTGGACACGTAGGGAGTGGGTAATAAAAACTAAGGGCTTGTGAAAGAAACTATTATCTATGTCTATTATCTCCGCACTCAAGAATAGAATTTACTCATTTAACAAATACTTAGGGAAAGGACATCCACAAAATTAATTAATAATTAATTAATAAACCACCTTCCTTTCAAGCAGTAAAAAACTTTCTCCTAAAGATTTACCAGTACAGATTAAGACAATAAAAATTCTTCTGCCCATAGTTTCCTACCTATGAAACTCTCAGTAGCTCAACCCAGAGGCCCCAGTGTCAGATACACTGAAGGTGTTGTATCTGGGGCCTTTTTCTGCCAGTCAAAGACTAGACAGGAGAAGCTGGGTAGTGGTGGTGCACATCTTTAATCCCAGCTCTCGGGAGGCAGAGGCAGGCGGATCTCTGTGAGCTCGAGACCAGCCTGGTCTACAGAGCTAGTTCCAGGACAGGCTCCAAAGCCACAGAGAAACCCTGTCTCGAAAAACCAATCCCTTCACCACCACCACCACCACGAAAAAAGGCTAGAGGGGAGAAAACTGCGGGGTTGTGCTGCCACTGATGGGAATTAATGTCCATGAATGCAATTCTGAAACAGTGCACCATGAACACTGTCTCTATTGCAAGTGAAAGGGAGACGGCAGGGCTTGGGCTGAAGCTTGAGCAACGGGTGGCACATTGTTGTGCAAAATTATTCTAAGGTGTATTTTGTTTAGGCCACATCTGATTATCTCTGTGAAGTTGTGATTTTTTTTTTTTGGCCTGTCTGAAACACCCAATGATCTAATAAAAAGCTGAACAGCCAATAGCGAGGCAGGCAGAGAGGATAAATAGGAAGAGAAATCTGGGAAGAGACGTAGGAGCAAGACAGAACAAGAAGAGGAGGACATTAGGGGCCAGTTACACAGCAAGCCATGGAGAAGTAAAGAAAGGTATAAAGGAAAGGGCCCCGAGGGAAAAGGCAGTTGGGATAATGTAAGTTAAGATAAGGCTGGCAAGAAACAAGCCAAGCTAAGGCCAGGTTTTCATAACTAAGAATAAGCATCCATGTGTGATTTATTTGGAAGCGGGTGGTGGGCCCCCCAAAGAATCAAAAAAGCAGAAGAGTAAAGAGTCAAAGAGTAAAAAAATCACTGCACACACAATAGCATATTTTTCTAACTCTCAGAAGTAAGCCAGGAGACCCACCATTCTTTAAGACTTCTTAAAAACTCAGATTGATAAATTCTTCCCTTTGCTTAGTCTTAACAGACACAAGCAGGCCAAACTCTCTGGGCTCACTCATGTGTGGCCTCAGTGGCAGCTCAAGCAGGCTGACTCACGGGTCTGATCTGTCCGTGTCTGCTGAGGTTTGTCTGTGTGTCAGGACGGGCCTCTCCTGCGTAAGACGTGGCTAACAGAAAGATGAGGGTTAATCCTCTCTACAGGAATAAACTCTGGGCGAAGGACTCAAACACAGGCTGCCTTTCAGTCTGGGCTTTATCTTTCAGGGAAACTCACGGGAGAGACATCACACAAGAGGCTTACTTACATCCCACGCTGTTTTCCTAAGCCTGTATTTTGGTTGTGACGAAGGGACAGAGTAACAATGCAGTAAACCAAGGGATCCAGCCACTGGTCTGGTGGGGTGGAATACTTACTGCCTCGCCGGATGTTGATAAGCAAGTTGCCCTTCAAGATGGTGCAACCTTGGAGCATCTGAGCCGACGTCACTGAATCGATGGTTTTCGTTTTCTTTTCTTCGTCGCCACAGACTTTGGGGCAGGGGCCTTCACAGGGGATACAGTACATGCTGTGGAAGAGAGAGAGTAGACCAAAAACCACACAATTGAGCTTATCTTCCCTACATAAAAAAAGACAGAAAAGAAAGAAGGCTTTTTGTCTGTGACTACAATGGCATTTCATGAGGGAACAGTTCTGAAGCATCCAAGTGATCACACAGAATCTCCTCCACAGGCCTAGCCATTCAAACTGCAACCACGAGAAGGGAACACATACCAAGGAGGAGGAGAAGGAACGCATGTTGCTTGTTTTTAGACAAAATACATGATCCATTCAAGAAGCATGTGGGTATCATAGGCTCGTGAATGGGGAGCCAGCTGGTCCATGTGGGAGAGACAGACTCACAGAAAGGCATTCTGGGGCTCTGGAAAAATGGAGCTGCTATCTGATGAGACCCTGGCCTGCACACCAGAGGAGGCTGGGAAAACTGGCGCAGGCAGGGAAGAGATAGCAGTGCCAGATTCCCAACGTCAGGATGCATAAAGTCCAGGGAGGGATTCCAACAGGCACGAGGCACACTGCAGGCCCATTCTTTTCTTGCTCAGGCACAAGTGAGATTATACTTGATAGTGCTCTGCAGAAAGTTGTAAATTGATCCAAATGTTGTTTTGCTGCACATACAATAAAAGCCAGGAACTTCCTCTGCTCTGTAATGAGGTCCTGGTCCAAATGCTACCCTGAGTGCCACACACCACCAGGAGCCAGAAGGAGTGGTGTGCTCCCCGCTTACAGAGCATCATTTAGGAAACAGCAAAGAAAATGCTAAGCCTGAGGCTACACTTTCTGAGATCTTAGCTGTATACAGAATCAGGGCTGTGAAGCTGGGTCGATTTCTGAATGAACCAAATGATACAAACTGGGGGTGTGTGGCATAACATTACATCCAAATTATTGTTCTTAAATGAGCCTATGAAAACTTCATGAAGAGAAAGAAAATCAGTGTAAAATTAGAGCTGCTTTTACTAAAGTCCTTTTCATCCTCTCTCAAAATACTACACAATTTAGTTTTGTTTAAAAGCTTACAGGTGACCAATAGTCCTCTGATATCTTCTTTCTATTTCTGGTTAGGAGAGTGTGGTTGAGGTTTTCAGAGGGTCCTTGGGAACTGGACTGAGCTAGTCAAAGTAGGGGACAGCTGGTTTTCCATAATACCACAAGCAACATCTTGTGGTGTCTGAATATTAACGGCCCCCATGGACCTATGTATTTGAACACTCAGCCCCTAGTGGGTAGAACTGTTGAGGAAGGATGGGGAGGTGTGCCCTGTGGGAGGAGGGTGTCACTGGGGAGGGGTGGGCTTTGAAGGTTCCAAAGACTCAAGCTGAACTCTCAGCATCCCCTCACACTCCATATCCTGGATTCCAGCCTTTGAAACCATAAGCCAAATTAAACATATATGTTTATAAATCGCCTTGGTCATGGCGTTTTATCATAGCAATAGAAGGGAGACTAAGATGGTTCACATTTCTTGCCTGGAGAGGGGCTTTCTTCTGAACTTTTTCTTTTTTTTTAAAGATTATTTATTATGTATATACAATGTTCTGGTATGCCTGCAGGCCAGAAGAGGGCACCAGATCTCATTATGAATTGTTGTGAGCCACCATGTGGTTGCTGGGAATCAAACTCAGGATCTCCAGAACAGCAGTCAGTGCTCTTAACCACTGAGTCATCTCTCCAGCCCCTCTTCTGAACTTTCTTTGTGTTGTGTTTTTCTAATTTAACTACACACCAATATAGCTCCCCCTAAAACACACTGAAATAACTACAGCTTCATACACAGAGTTGCCAAGACAGTACAGAGTACCCATGTACCCTTTCTCCAACTTCCAGAACTGTTGTTACATCACACACAATGATAATACAGTAATTAAAATCAAGAATCCAACCACTAGTGGGGGTTCTGTGTATTTTTCCATCTGTCTAGATGGGTTTTCAAAATCCCCACAGCAATCAAGATCCAGGACAACTCCAACACTACAAAATCCTCCCTTCTGTTACCCATTTATAGCTAACCTCTGCCTAAAACCCAGACCTCACTATCCCTAACTCCTGGGAATTGCTAGACTGTTCCCCACCTTTAATTGGGGATCATTACATAAATACAGTTATAAAGTACATGGCTTCTGAGATTGGTGTACTTCACACTGCCTAATATCCTTGAACCTCAATCTTTTCATTGCTGAGTAATATTCCATGGGCGGATGTAACACAGCACGCTTTACTGCCTCTTATAGGGCATCTGAGTTGTCCTCACTTCCTGGTGCTACAGCTAAAGAAGTCATGCACAACCATATGCAGTAAACGTTCAGGGCCAACATGACTGGGCTGTAAGGTAATGCCATGCTTGTTCCTCCCCCATTTTTTATTCAAACAGAAAAATCTGAACCAAACCCCCTTTGTTAAAATGTCTAGGTATCATCTAGCACTTATAAATGTTTTATAAGGACATGTTCTGATTACATATTTACAGTCTAAGTTTCCTAAACTTCACTCTGGTACTGACAATGTATAAACAGTATTTTTAGAAACACCTTCAGGTGAGTGCTACACAGGCTTCAAAGGCTGAGACAAGGACAGCTATTGTTTCTTGGTGGTGTTTTACTTTACAATGGAAAAGTCGGTGAGAAAGGGCAGGGAGCAAAGGCCCAGTGCTGTAAGACCGCACTGCAGGGAAGGAGAACCAACTTCTAGGAATACCTAGCACTCTACTGTGTGTTGCAGCACAGCTGAATGCCTGTGAGTAGAGAGAGGAAAGAAAATGGCAGGTCAAAGATGATACCACAGTGAGCTCACCGACCAGCTAGTTATCCTTGGCTACTCCCAGCCCCCCAAGGAAGGCAGATTGTGGCTGAGTACCTACCTGCTGCCAAACACTGGTCTTTGTCTCAAGATGCGGACTAGTACATCAATTTTATATCCTAACACTGTGACTGTTTGGTTCTAGAGTGCCCTCAAAGGCCCATCCTTTAATAGCTTAATCATCGGCTTGATAAAGGTAGGGCCTACTGGGAGGTCTGTCAGCCCTTGATACATGCCCACAAGCAATGGAACCAATCAATCTTGGACCAAAAACATCCAAAACCATGAGCTAAAACCAATCATCATCATCATCATCATCTTTTTTTTTCTCCTTATCTCCAAGATAGGGTTTCTCTGTGTAGCCCTGGCTGGCCTGGAGCTTACTCTGTAGACCAGGCTGACATTGAACTCACAGAAATACACCTGCCTCTGCTTCCTGAGTGCTGGGATTAAAGGCATGTGCCACCATGGCCCTGCTCAACCCCCCCCCCCCTCTCTTAATCAAAGCATTTTGTCACAGAAACAGAAGCTGACTAACAGAAACTGCCGACACATGAGTAAAATATGGCAGAATTATTGTTGGTAGACCGTTTTATACAATTCTGTGTAATTATAGTCCCTGGATTACTTATTTTAAATAGTTTAAAAATCCTTTCCTTTTTACTGTTATAATATTAGTGTTCTAATTGGACAGGTAGAAATTTGCTTTACTTCTTAGCATTATGAAAGAAAATACAATCTTTGATTATATATAAAACATATTATATATTATAGAGACATTTCCAAATACCACAACAGAAATGGAATCCTCTTACTGAAGATGTGATGGATTATCTTTTATAAAAAGTGACCACCAGCAAAACCGGACATTTTGCACTTGCAGAATTGTTAGCCACGCTGGGAACTGGACTGCAGGCCTTCTATGTGCCAGGGACTGGATTCTAGGCCCCCCTTAAAAGCTGGGGTCTGGGTCTAAAATCCTCCCCCCACAGGATGGGGTTCTGGACCTAGGATTTCCCACAGGCTGGGGACTGGTTTGAGGATCTCCCACAGCCAAGCATGAGCTGCATTCAGAGTCTCCTAGCTCTATTTTGAGGAAGCCAGAAGCGTATCTGTGTGTATAGCATAGGAGGCAGGGTAAGAGTGACAACCTTCCCCGAAGCCCCGTGTTCCTGTGTTCTGTGCAGGCTGGGAATAGCAACTCCAGACTTCTGATTGCCCTTTGTCACCAGAGTTGTAACATCCTGTTTTCAAGAACACTAGCCCCCGGCAAGTTTGTAGACAGAGCACTTATCTAATAGAAGCATCTTTGTTTCCTCAGTGAAGCCTCAGCATCCAGGACGGAAAGAGAGCGGGCACCAAAGGGGTAGAGCTCAGAAGGAGGAGGTCTGGCAGACACATGGTTGGCCTGACTACTAGTTTATGTCTAGATCAGGCTTCTAGGGAGGAGTGGGAGACCTGTCCCTGAGCTGCACAAGCGCTGGTGAGGACTTGTCTCCCTCCTTCCCTCTCCCAGTGTCAAAGCTCTCACTGGGCTACAGTAGCAAGCTGGGGAGGAGAGTCTGTAGTTAACAGCTGCCACTTCTCAGACTTCAGCTCTGCAGGTGCCCAGGGAGCAAGGCTATCCGGACACCTGGCCACCAAGCTAATTCTATCTATCATCTATCTATCTATCTATCTATCTATCTATCTATCTATCTATCTATCTATCTATCTATCTATCTATCTATCTATCAATCAATCTATCATCTATCTATCTATCTATCTATCATCTATTATCTATCTATCTATCTATTATCTATCTATCTATCTATCTATCTATCTATCTATCTATCTATCTATCTATCTATCTATCTAGTTTTTCAAGACAGGGTTTCTCTGTGTAGCTTTTGAGCCTGTCCTGGAACTAGCTATTGTAGACCAGGCTACCCTCGAACTCACAGAGATCCATTTGCCTCTGCCTCCGTCATACCCACCGCCCGGCTAATTCTTTCTCTCTAGTGCTAGCAAGGCACTTTTAAAAAAGACAAAGCCAGTCAACAAAACAGGAAAACAGAGAACCAGCCACACCAGGATTCTCACTAATATAAACTCAGCTAGTGTCCTCCGGGAGCTCCATCAGATGAACCTCTGGATGGTTCCGACCCTCATGGGCTATGCAACTGAGTACTCCTGGGTCCGGGGAACAAGAGTCACTGACCTCTGGGTGCTGTTGCGGATGAAGCCTGAGGGACACTCTTGCATGCACTCGCCGTCGTGGATGACAAAGCCATCGGAGTCACTGCTCTCGGCATTGGGGATGTTGGCGCAGAAATCGCGGTCCACGCAGCGCCAGCCCTCGAACCTGTAGGTGCCCGGCGGGCAGGCAGGCACACACACGCCTTTGTAGTAGTAGTGTCGGCAGGCCACACAGGTGGTGTTGTCGTCGGGCGTATGGCAGCTGCCCAGGCACTCTGGGTGGCAACATTCATTGTTCTCGGTGCAGGCTCGCTTTCCGCACACGCTTGGGCACACTGTGGGAACAGGGGAGAAGGGCGGTGAGAAGGGCTACAAAGCCACCCCGGGTCATCTGTTGCACTAAATGGTGTCCCAGGGGCAGGCTAGGAAAGCCACACTTTCTCTGAAATCTGTACAGATAATGCCATCTGTGAATCCAGCACAACCCGAGTCATTTCTCTCTCACGAACCGATTTGCTGAGGGATGAGCCATTAATTTCTAACAACCCTGACCTTCCCTTTCCTCATCTGTAAAATGGGATGACTACGCCCATTAAAAGGGAGCCCATGGCACAGGAGAAGAGAGAGAAAAGAGACCATACGGGTAACCAGCACTGCACAAGGCACTATGGTCTCCAGCCCTCTTTTTGTATGGGGAATCATTCTAAGACCCCCGTGAATGCTTGAATCACATACAAAACGCTGTCTAGTATATATTCCAATCCCCTCCCCAGCAGTGATTTAGAGAGGAGGGATAACAAGTATGCAGGAAACCCTAATGCTGGAATAGACACCGCCTACCATAGCAATGATCTTGAAGACAGTAAAATGGATTTCATTTTTCAGCCTACCATGTTTTTAGTTTCACACACTATTACTGATTCTTTCACTCAAAGACATAAAAAAAGACATAGTTGAAGATGATATAGCTTGATTATTTAATTAAATATACATATTGCATAGGTTACATCAAGGTTTGAGGTCTAAACGAACACTGAAGTTGTTGGTGTTGATTTCAGTTTATAATCCATCAGCGACAGAAGTGAATCGATCCATATTGACTGGATGTGCGCTACACCTGTGTGCCAGGCAACTGTATACCCTGCTCAGTGGCCGTCCCTGAGTTCAAGGAACGGACAGCACAGCAGGGAAGCAGGGAGGAGTAGAGGCACATGGTGTTCCTAATGCGTTGAGTGTCAGCGCTGGTAACGCTGGCACTGAAAAGCAGAAGGATGATGGGACGGAGCATCAAGACCACTCCTCAGAGGGTCTCCACGTAAACACCGGCTGGGATGCTGCTGGGAACAGAACGGGGTCGGCTCAGAGAGGCACCACAGGCAACTGGCTGGTGGATAGTAGGCAGTCGCTTAAGGTTTTAGGCAGGGGTTTTCACCCTACAAAGGTCAGGCTGGGCTGGAGAGATGGCTCAGAGGTTAAGAACACTGATTATTCTTTCAGAGGTCTTGAGTTCAATTCCCAGCAACCACATGGTGGCTCACAACCATCTGTAAAGAAATCTGGTGCCCTCTTCTGGCCTGCAGGTATACACGCAGACAGAACACTGTAAACAAAGTAAATAAAATTAAAAAAAAAATAAATAAAAAAAAGGAAGTTGTAAGGCTGTAGAGTGTTGGCATGACGACCACAGTGGGCAGACATTAGAATGGACCAGAGGAATCTGCTGCCGATTATGCCACCCCTCTATGGCGCACACCGAGTAACACATCCACAAAGGTCAGTCTAACTAGCTATAGCCTCCCTGGTAGAACCATCCTACCACCCGCCACCACCATGCTCTGTGATGTGAGAGGAAGGGAAAACAGATTAGGAATCCCACCACTATCATCAGAGATTATTAACAGGACTAAATGTCAACTCATGGACCTCTTACTTAGTAACAATGGAACGGAAAAGACACATCACAACAGAGAGTAGGGTCAAATGGCTTTGTAGTATAAAAGCCTCTACCATATAAAAACAGGGCAATAACCTTGTCCACTGTCTCGAATCTGTTTTCCCCCAAACGTAAACGGTACATTTTCCCAGGATGAGAAAGAAACAGAAATTCTTGACAAGAGACCCGTTAATGCAAGAATGTGTTAAGGGGATGGAGAGATGGCTCAGTGGTTAAGAGCACTGGCTGCTCTTCCAGAGGTCCTGAGTTCAATTCCCAGCAACCGCATGATGGCTCACAATCATCTGTGATGAGATCTGGTGCCCTCTTCTGACATGCAGACCGAACACTGTATACAAAATAAATAAATCTTAAACAAAAAAAGAAAGAAAGAAAAAGAACGTGTTGAGTCCTGTTCCATGCCTGTGATGGGAACTTTGTCCCAGCCAAGGAGAGTAAAGTTAGAACACTGTCCTGACAGATGAAACTATTTTTTTTACGCAGATGCCAGATCAATGGACTCCTTACCACTGAGTGAGACTGAGAACAAATACACATCTAATATGCTGTAGGGGCGGGGGATAGAAAAGGGGTATGCAGAGGAGGAGAAGATGGAGGAGAGCTGACTTTCTGCTAGAGGACAGACTCCAGAAATCTTTGGTGGCTACCGGGAAGAAAGTGGTGGCTCCTCTCTCTAGCCAACAGGATCCGGGAGGCAGCAAGAGAACACAGGGACGTTTGGGATTAGCGAGCCCTGGAGCCAGCCTCAGAAGCCTGCTGTAAATTTTGTCTCATCTCGATGTATATAAATATTATTAGTGTTCAGGACTATTAAGGGATTTCTTGAAAAGCCCAGGGCAGCGCGTCTCGCCAGCAGATGGATGGCTGCTCTATATGAGTGCCAAACTTAAAATTTAGTGCAGTAACCAAATTTCCAATTATAGCACTATAGGGGAAAGGAGGGGACCTCTTCCCCGGCTCCTAAGGAGCAGCTCATGGGCATGGTTAAAAGGGCAGCTCGACCTTAAACAGAGGAAACGGAAGCTGCTGTACACCAATGCACACAGGAAAGCAAATTCATTTTGCTCACGAGACCATTCTATTCCTTGGAATTCATTTGTACAGGGATAAAACAATAAAAAACAAAAACTTAATTGAAACAGCTCCCAAAAGCCACAGCACGTCCTGTGTCAATGACCAGACAGACACGTTCGGGGTCAGTGTGCATATTTTAAAACTTCTTCTCTTCCTATTTCTTTAGGAGAGAAAAATGGAGTCTTGCACATCAGCCTTTGACTCTCTTCCTCCCCAGAATCCTTGCATTTACTAAATTCTACTTTCTTTTTAATCTGTCTGCCTGTGTCAGTAAGTTCTTTACTGATTGTGAGCTCTAAGAAACTGTATCTTCAAAGTACAGCTGCTAGCGTTCTTTGCCAGAAGATGGGAGTCTCAACTTTTCATAAGGAAAGAGGGGTTCCTTGGCCAAACAAGTTTTTACTGTGCAATTTATTTTAACTCAAATAACCGCTGAGGGACAGAACTGGCCTGAAGATGTTTTAAGTTAAAGCTTCTGAGTCGAACACGGAAAGAAGAAGGTAACAGGAACTGCCTAACAGGAAGGAAGCATTATATAAAAAAGGTGGGAAAGGCTGGTGATAAAGTAGAGGCTGGGGAATGGGCAGCAGTGAACAAGTGCTGTGGTCGGAGCCCACAGGGAGTACGGCTCTGAGCATCCAAAAGGCAACATATGCAGTTGTAGTCCAGACTCTAGTTTGGGGTTAAAAAGCTACTTTTGTATCTGCCTGTAAGTCCCTCAGGGAAAGAATCCACATAGTCATTGGAACCCTGCTCCTAGGACTTCCACGGGCTTCCCCAGGCTCAAAACTGTGCCCATAAGACCTGTCTGCAGGCTGTAGCATAGGACCTGGCTGTCTAGTTCCAAAGAAGCCTTTCTTACTTCTTTACTACAACCAAACAGTCTATGGAAGAGAGTGCAGATAAGCCTTGAATGGATTAGCGGCTGACCTTGGAGGCATCCTGCCCAGTAACTAAAAATGTAGACTCCTCTGTCATCTGTCCTCTCTCCTTCCCTTTCTTCTTCTCCCATAGATTTAGTTGGGAGTCATGAGGATGGGACATCATTAGGACAGTAGTGGCTTTATCATAAGGAGAAGTAGGTAAGCTTAGTACGCCATGCGTTGGCCATGCCACCAACGCAGCAGGAAGGTCCTCAGTAGAGGCTGACGCCATATTCTTGAACTTCTCAGTCTCCAGAACTATGAAAAAATAAATGTATTTTCTTTATAAATTATCTACCATCAGGCATGTCAAGTAAGACAAGTATCCATCAAAAGAGGAACAAAGCACTGGTGACCAAAGTTTCTCAGGCTCCAACAGCCACTGAACTGCATCCTAGCAAGGTCTGCAGGCTCAGTGGAAAGGCTTAAATCATAAAGCAAAACTAAATAGTGCTATTATACACAGAGGGGAGGGAGCAAGGGAGGGAGACACAAGAGACAGAAAATAAGGACGAGGAGCAATGAGAATGCTTTCTTCAAAGGGAAGACAAGAACTTAACATGCTTATGGTCCTTGCAGTGTCTAAAGGAGAACCCCACGTCTCACTGCTTAGAAAGCACCGACAGACTTTCAAAAAAAATGCTGAAGCAAGTGTCTGCCTGGAGGATTGTAGCCACTATCCAGCCAGTTACACAGCAAAAGAACATTCACGTGGCAACCAGTGTCTCAAAAGTTCATGCAGAAAATCACACTGGCAACAGTATTCTCTGTCTAATGCCAAAAACCAAACCAAACCAAACGAAACACCTCCTTTTCTGGAGGGACTGAAGGCAGGTCCAAAGGAGATGTCATTTTAAGTCAGAATCCAAAATACTTCCGTTTCTATTTGAACTGAAAGGCTATAACAGATCAAGGCCTTCCAGAGAAAAAGCGCACTTGCGCAGAACACTCCTGATGCATCGCAAGCTGGTTACAGGACCTCATGCTTTTCTGATCTATTTGCATGCTAGCCACGAGAGCTCTCCGTATTGACTTTCAAAGGGTTCTCCACGCAGTTTGGGGCTGGCTGGCTTCATACCATGAAGACCCCTAGACACAGCAACTAGACTCGGGGAGTTTCTCGACTCTTGAGGTGTATGTAGAGGGGGTAACAAGTCACACATTGTTTCTCCCTACTAGTCCTTTCTGGCTTTGTTCTCTGCTTTCCCAAACCTTCAAAGTTTTGCTCTCTAGGCAGCAAGTCACAGAAAGCCAGAGTCACAAGGAAGTTTACAGGTAGGTCCCCATCTTAACTCCGGATACCTCTACAAAGCCCTAGACAGTGCTTTCAAGCAACACTAAAGAAGCCCACTGCTTTCCAGGCGGCACCCCTCAATGATTGGAC